GAGCCTCAAAACATTTTGAATTTCAGTTAGTGTAGTTAGCGTAGTTGACACACCTCGTGCCTCTAAGGGGAGACCGAGCTGCGCCATTTCACGGCATTTGCGACCGATATGCCTACAAGGTTACTGAATAGGAATGGGTAGGTGTACAGCGTTGGAAACATTGCCGGCCCACAGTGCTTCAAACTCTAAGCCACATGGAATTGGTAGCTTTCTCTTTTACTCTTTTGTTGAAAAGCCCAATCTCAGAAGTGAATTGCAGGGGTATTCTTGATTAGGAGTAACTGGAACTAGCCAGTTGTGACAGAGTTATGCAACTGTTTGTTTTTTACCCATCTCGACTTTGCCTTATTTACACAAGCCGGCGATGCCCAAGTTCTCTTGCATTTATGCACTACTTGAATACGTAGTGGTCCAACTACAGACAAAAATAGTGCTTCTAAGATACGAACTAAACGTAGTCGCTTGCAGTTAAAAGAAGCGAGGGTTGTCTCGAGCGTAAAACAAAAGAGATCAAATGCATAAACAAGGTATTTACGAGACCCTTTGGAGCAAGATGGTACATCAGCACTTCAATTTAGCATAAAGTTATTGCTGACTTCTCAATAAAACAGCAATGCCCAAGCAAAAATACGAAGGCTTTGCGGAATCCGACGAATTACGTGGATCCGGTGGGTAGTGCGAAGCAGCAGAACAGTCCTCCACATATGATCGAGATACTGTAGTCGGTTTCGTGCAAACATTTTCCATGTCGATGAAAATACACGAAAATTAGCGATGTCTTTGCATAATCAGTGATAAAAGTAAAAAACCTCAGAAAACAGATTTTGCTTAGATGACATGAACATGCCGAAACTCTCAAAACGCAGAACTCTGTTCTCATTACTGTGGTAAGTTTCCACTAGCAAACGCATTGCGTCTCTATAATGGGAGGTATTGAATGAAGGGGACAAGAAAATGTGGTTTAGTTTCTACAAGTTATTTTGAAATTGTAAAATCGCAAAAACATTTGATGATTTTGACTTGCCTAAAATATTACATAATTATTGTTTTTAAATAATGGATGGTGAACTTTAAGTTTATTTTAATTTCAACTAGTTGCGGCTTGGTCCTTGATTATAGAAGCATTTTCCACCGTTCTTTGGCAGTTTTACTCGAAATAAAGTCTCATCCCTCCCCTACTCGTACTTACAGATTTATCCAAAGGTGGTAAATCCGTTCAAAAGTGCTGATCGCTACCCCGAAAGTGTTTCTGCTCAACATCGGTGCAGCGTCTCGAGACTTCTAAGGAAGGAAAAGGTATCAAGCCTGAGCTCAGCCCGAAGACCATTTTATACGTATGAGGGTGAGACGAATTTCATATTAACCGCCAAACATCAGGTGGTCGCATAATTAAAGTATTACAATCAGCTCTTGCGAGCACTCCCTCTATAAGTTATTTTGGTCAAACCGTTCAGAAAACACCAAACTTAGCCCTCCTTATGAAAACGTGACCCTGGTTTTTAATAAAAGGTGACGTCCCATTTATAAAAGCACAAAAATTGGCGGTAGGCACTGATTTAGAGTTAAACGCCTGAAATGGTCTTGAGCGCTATCTTGATCTCTTTAGAGTGCCATCCAGACTGCTTTTGACGTCCACATAGGTGTGGATGCTGCTAGAACTTATATCACTGACACCACCAAATGCATCAGACAGCGTAGCCTAAATGTAGCACTTGTTCTTAGTAATTGGATTAGTAGCATCACAAACCAACTCTTACTTCTCCTACCCACCTCAAATGCTGCCACGCAAAATGTTTTGCTACAATATTCTACGTGGTTTACCTCTTCACGACCAAAACGGGTGCTCTGTAAAGCTGTTTGCCTTATTCTCCCACCTGTTAACGTAGTAAATAAATCTTTAGGTTATTCAATTATTAAGAAATTATTCGCTGTTTGATAACCAATCTCAAATAAGGGAGTTCTGGTAACTAATAGCAAAACGCCAGGCAGAGATCTAAACTCGGAAATTGTATTCTCTTTATGTTGTGGATTATCACGATCACCTTACTTGTCTCAATCCAAATTGTAAATGAACACCTACAATGGAAATACATCTAGCGTAGGATAGCTGAACTAACCGGTTACGTTTAACTTCATGCCATGTAGCGATACCTGACAAAAGGTGTCTTTGGGTAAAAACTGCCAATGTAGCTTGGCAATAGATCGTCGGACAGAAGTTAATGCGAGACTTTGGTAGGAAGTCTATCAACTTCAAAAAGCAGCGAGTATTAGTGTTTGAAGTTCGGCTCCCTCCAACAGGTCAGATACGCTGCCCTTAGTCTTTCTATCCAACTTCTAAAAATACTAATCAATGTGAATAAGTTGAAAATGCCATATGCTTCGTGATGCATTCCGAGACGGCAGATGGAGCAATTGTTGACAGTCACTACCGATGCCGAGAGAAGGAGCACAATTGAAATGGGGGTAGATGGGAGATGTCGCGTAGGTGAAGGTGGTGGTCGTGGTGGTGGTGGTGGTGGTGTGGCAGCACAAGATTTTAGCGATCACCAGCCTCTTAGCTCATTCGGTCTTGCAATCTGTCAGCAGAACTTTCAGAGGATTGGTGGTGGTGAAAGAGATCAGACGCTTTTAATAAACAGCAAACTGCTGTTGTACGGTTCTCACAAGTGAGCAGATGGCCTTTGTAGGTAAGCACGCTAATTTTATTGCCGTAACTGGTAACTGAAGCCTTCCCATTATGCCCACCACCTCGTTGCTTTAAGACTCCATCAAAAACAAACTAACCAAATGTTATGCACTGAATTCATCCAATCAAGTTGGAAAACACTACTTGCTAAAGCTCAATTAAAAATAGTTAAGCAAGTAGTGATTTACGTGCTGTTAAGACAGTGCCATGACAACAAAATAAAGGACTAAAACGAAACCATGATTGTCATCTTAAAAGCTTGTAAAGTGACGTTCTACTATCACCATACGCCTTTGCATTAATTTGTGAAGTTATCTTTGGGAAGGAATAATTAAGAACCTCAGAGGACCAAAGACTATGTTCTTCATAATTTCAGATTAATTATGTTTTATCACTTTACTCCAGGTTATAAATGCTTTTGCATGGTCAAAAATCTGGCACCCTCTTGAGGACCGAAAAGAATTAGTTCTTCAAATAAATGCAAATTTTACATGGTCATTAGGATACGGTTGTAAGCAGGAGCATTACAGCATTGAAGCTAATGTTTCGCGTTTATGGGAAGAGGAATCAAGACGATTGCTGGGTCCTTGTGAAAATGCACGGAATTGCAATGTACCACCCATTCTCTATACTACCAAGCGAATTCGCCCTATTTTGTGGAAACAAATCCAAAAATTATGGTGCATTCAAATTAATTCGGCACAACTTACACAGTTATTTGGATTCAAAGAAATTTTACTGTTGCCTGGGTGCGAACCGTTCAGATCACGTTTAGGCACATGGGGTTTTGGTGAGGTTACGGTTTTTCGTTGTTTTTAAAATAAACAAACCAACGGTTGGCCTCTGTACGTAAAATCTAAAATTTGGGTTAAACAACGGATAGGAGCTGATTTACTATGTTACCACACCGACAGACCTGAAATGCCATTTAAGTTCCATATTTTACAAGTAATTGCAAATAGTTGTATTGAATTTGACCCCGATCTCAAAATCTACATACGCCTAACTTTCGGAAGTTAATGGCACCACAACTGTTATTTTTGAAAGCAAAGTTCACTGCATACAAATCATTTCTCATTCCATGAAATTATTTTGTAGCAATGACGTGCTTCTTCTTCACTGCTAACCAAAGAGAACTTACCAAGTTCCTCTTCAAGTCCAAAATTATTTATAACAAATGTATTTTTACTTCTTTAACAATAGTTATTGTAAACGATCCACTTCATTCAAAATGGAGTTAAATAGGTTCTTAATGAACTCATATCTGTGAACGACAGAGAGCACAGCTGAAATGACGTAACAGCACCGGTGTGGAAAGCAACATACGTCAGCGTTCCTTTCTTTTCCCCTCCATTACCTCTTGACATTCTTTAAGCACCCCCTCAATCATAGCCCACCTCAAAACGCCACGTTTTATGACCATGAGTCTGCCCTTATCCGCAACCAAAACAAGCTTATTTTGGGAAAGCCGTTTATAATTTTTCATCCAATTGGGGCATGCAATTACTGCAGTGTTGGAATCAAGAAAGTTTTGCAGCACCTACGAATTATACATTCATCTTTCCTATTCTAGGTTGACTGGACTGAGCGCATTACTAGGTAATCTGGTCCGAAAGCCCGGCAGGTGAGGCGAACGACTCGTGAGAATCATTTGCGCCTACTGTAAAACTCAAAAACCCAAATATTGTCCTAGTATGTGCTTCCTGAAAGAGGAATCGGTAAGTTTGCCCATATAAATCTGGTTATTTTCAGTTTTCTCAATTTCTGTTGTACTCCTTGGTTTATATCAGCTCTCCTTCTAAACTTAACGATAGTTTTAAGGTCGCAATGATACCCTTACGCATTCAAAATTTGCTCACGATTTCGCAGTTGCATGCTGAAAACACTTTCAATTAGCCAAACTCCAAAAGTTAAATTGGAAATAACTATGGTTTCACAAAGGGTAGAATTCGCTAAACCCCGTCGTTATTTGTCAAGTAGTTCAAAAGTTTATTTTCCATTTGCATTCTTGGTGATAACGAAGTGCATTATCTCTGACTTATGGTACTATTGGCTTAATTAACCTACAGTTTTGGTGTTTTTTTGTATCATAAGTTGCAGTTTTTTGATTGGTTAATATAAATTTCGGCCCCTTATTAATTTGATTTGAAGCCCAATTTTCCACCAATGAGGTGCGAGAATCGAGTATTTATTGTCCCGTTGGTTGGACAGGACACTTACCGCTGTATCAAATGCAAACATAGAAAGGTATATAAAGGTACGAATATTCAGGCCTGGTCAGATCGCGAAAGAAATACATTTCACCACTACAACTATGCGTGCAATGTTAGCGGTTCTCTTCTGTGCCTTATCCGTGAGTAGTTTGACGGTGTAGCATGTATGCTATGTTTTTATAGCCCATTATTTATCATACTTTTAAATCAATTGTCCAAACCAAGGGTTTGTATTGTTTCTTCTTATTTGATTAAAAAATGGAAAAACTTTAGCGGCACTAATCTGACTGTGTCAGATGCAGATGATGGAAGGACACTTATTTGTAATCTTCTTCGATTTCGCTTATTTTGTAGTTTTTTGCCTGCGTGTCACTGGCTCATCCTTTATCAGATGAAGAGAGCTTGGAACTATTCAAGCGCTACTTTGATCCCATCCGATTTGCAATGGGTCGTAAGTAACTGCACTTCCTTTTAAAAATCTGCTCCGTTTCTATCGAAAAGTAATGGAGAATATTCCAGGGCATTGTAATACTTCCTAAGATGTAAGGCGGTGATGTCCAAGTAAATAATCGAAAACTTCGAAGTCCTCAACTCAGCTACAAGTAATATGCTACAGTTAATAACGTAACTTTACATATCCTTTTCGAATCTTGTGCTGATTATATTTTGTGCAGGTGCATTGGCATGATATCTCATGACTTCTTCCATAGAATATAGCATCAATGTGAAAACGTCAGCGTCTCCAACTGTTTAAAACCTAAATTTCGTAGATAGCACTACAGCAGCCAATTAGCTTACAAGATAGCAACTTGTGTTGCAACATATCACAGGCAAACTAATAAACTTACATTTTTGAGGCTATTGAGAATACTTTTATTCCTGTTTTTAGCTATTCGCACTAAGGAGGACTTGGATAAACGTGAATCGGTCATCGCCTCAAAGCGATACTTCGATCCCATCCTCTTCAAGCACGCCTTTTAGAACGGTGCCTGTAGAGCGAACCCTTTCTTTGTGTTATGCACAGTAAACAGTCACCATATATTTACTAAATGAACGGATTCCTTAAGAGATGAGTTGGAGGTGCAGTGGTGTAGGGAGGAGGTAGGTGGGGACTGAGAAGACCGGAGATATTTCCATAAGGTTGCGTGACGCCTGTGTGTAATGAAAAACCAATTCCACCAAATAAATGACATTGACAAAAGTATGAATCCTCTGAAGTGATTTCGCATGCATTTTATCACGAGCATTGCTGTTGTATGCGATGCACACATACGCAGGTTTGCATGCATTTTATGCTCTAGCTCATGGAATGGATTTAAAAATGACTGCATCAAATATTCAAAACGGAGACATCTATAGACAGGTTCTTGCCTTCACTTATATTAACGACACTAAGTAAAATTAGTGGCCGCGCCATAGAAGATGCAAGTCATCGAATACCGTAGCCCATCAATCGAGCTGAGTGACACAATTGAAACAAATTCTAGTACTTTCTTTTGTGATCTGCTGGTAAAAAAGCTACCACTTGTTTCGTCAAGATGCTGCCAGATCCTAAATACAATGCAGCTACCGTTACAGCATGATGATTAAAAGGCTTATTTTTTCGTTCCTTGGCATTGATTGTGGTCGCTTGGTTGGTTATATTGTCTCCTCCAAGTGGACGGCCTCTAACCCAGAGCCACACCTCCAAGATCAGCATTCTGCTCGAGTGATTTGCTAACTTTTTCTTAAGGATGCAACCTTATAGCAACCGACTGCATGTTTTGGCGACTACTCGTATTACTCTCATCTGAAAGCTCTAAACTAATAGTGTCCAATGCATGAGGCCACTCGGATGCAGCTATACCTTGTCTCTAGGTAGTGCTTATTTTGAACGCTTAAATAAGAAGTTAGAGGAACAGAGTTGGACGCGGAATGGATAATACATGTACTGTACTTATATTATCCATATTGACTTCGAAATGGCAATATTTAATACTGTTCAAAGCGGTCCTCTGGAGCCTAAGTAAACACTTACAATTTGATCCCACTGCTGACTTTATGTATCACTCAGCTACCATAAATCATAACACAAGCTCATCCAAATGCTTGGTTAAGGGAATTTTATACCGACTTACAAAAAAGTCGTCCTCTTTTGATGCATCTTAAATTTCATCAACGCTTCACGGTGAGAGGAACGCACATTGCAAATAATCGACCTTCTAATCGCCCTTATTTATACAAGCTACATTGGCATGCATGATTAAATGCTTTCTTTTTCGTATTTGCACAAGATTATGATCAGAAAAACCGGATAAACCGGCCGGTTCACTTACTTGCCAAACGCCAAGTTTGAGTGGTCACATTAGGCTCTAAATATCAATACGTAAAAAAAACTGAAGCACTGCACCACCGTTCGGCTAATTTGGTAAAATTTTCCGCCTTCATGTTACTCTTCTGCAAGGCGAATCAATGCTCAAATTGGCAGAGATTTGAACGTACTTCAGCTTTGTTCTCCAAAAATAACAACTACTCAGCTATTTATTGCCCTTCCATTTTTATTGCTGCACGATGACTTGAATTGTTTCTTATACCGTCTTCAAAAGGACTCATTCAATAGTAAAGTTACAATTAAGACTGCAGGCTCGTGTTTTATAAAATGAATGCTACTTATTTGTTTCAGTAGCATTATATTTCGCTTAATGGTATAATGGGCTTCACAATTCAACGCCACAATGGACAAGTTCATTAAAAGGTCAAGCGAGCTATCTTGGTATCATGGCCTTGGATTATATTTTTTGCAATCAATGTAAACCGCTTAAGCCAGCAACACCACTGAGTATCCTCCCACAAAAACGCAATCGCTCATGCAACTTCTTCGCAGGTCTCAGATCTAGGTGGTGCTGTTAACCCTCCGATGATAGCTACGGAAGGTGGAGTTCGGTATCATCATTGGCACAGCTTGGAAGCACAGAAATTAGTTATCTATGTTTGGTTCGAGGTGACAGCGACAACATTGTGCAGACCAACTAGGCACCTTCCGCTTCTCATCCACTGTCCCTTGCATAAACTACCGAATGTTTATGGTAGCGAACAGACACCTGATACCTCGTAAGGATCTGCAATTTGACAAGATGGAAGGTAAACCTTAATCAAGTGAGCCAAGTGGCGATTACCATCGCAATGTTTGAGGCCAAATTTTATTGTGCAAATGCAATTTTTGGCCTCCTCATGTACGATGCAATGGAATAAACCGGCTAGAAATGCAGGAAAAGTAGTGTTCGTGATGACTTGTGAACTGTGAAGCATAAAACTCTCTTCTCGAAGCACCATGCCAGCCGTTGATTCCTATTATTTACCCCATTGCCAGTGTGTTTTACATCGCATTCGCGAAGAAGCTTTTGCGGCCGAATGTTTAAAAAAAGCCAAGTGGGTTCAACAGGATCAATATATTTCAAAGTTCACATGTCATGACAAGATCTACTCTCAGCATCTGTATGCAGAAAATCAAATAAAAAAAGATTGTTTGTTTGAAAGCTACAAGAACCATGATAGGTGAGAAATGTGGTGTAATGCAAAGGATGAAAGGACAATAGGTGAAAGAGGAAGTAGGAGAGAGAACAGGAGAAAATTGGCGTCTTAGGTTGAAGAGGTAGTGACTAGTAGAGAGCAAGGGCCATGCATACTCGCGAGGGTATGTAGACATACATGCTGCAGCGTCGATTGTCCCACCCTTCTTCCGTGGTCGGCATAGCAATTGAATCATCGACGCGGTTAAAGCCTCCAAATTCCGCCCTGTCCGAGTCCAGAATGATCTTGTAGCTGGACGCAGGCATGGTTTAAGAGAGGGAAGCAGCTCATCTCTCCATGTTTCCCAATAGTGATGTGAATGAAAATAAATCAGACCTTACCTTCCAGGGATGTCTACGCCAATACGGTAGTTTGTAAAGCTCTTTTGTGGGTGGAAATTGAACACAAACAGGACACCAGCTCGCTCAAATACAATCACCTTGTCGTCCTCGTGCTTTCTGCTAACGTAGGCCTAGAAAGAAAGGTACCACCAGTAAAAATCCAACTGTCCCAAAAACAAGGCCGCACTTTTAAACCATACTCATTTTAATTACCAAAATCCTAATTATTTGTTTTATTTTTCAAAAAGAAAAACATTGGGTAACAGTAGAAATAAGAGACATAGAGTTAATTTCTGCCCGAATGTGCGTAAAACAACTTCTCAGGGGTCTTTGGTTAAACTAGCCAATTTGTTACTTTGACAACCAAAAGAAGAAAGTGAATTAAATGCAACTAGGATACTCTTTCAACTGTCCCATGGCTGTACAACCGCCGTTATTTTACAACAAAGGGTCCAAAATTTCCACGTTAATTAATATAGCTGAACTTGAAGTACCAATGAACCGTTATTAGCATTAAAATAATGAGGTATTGTCAGTACCTTGCAAGATAAAGTCTACTTTGCTATTATTAAGGCAAAAATCTTGCATCCAATGGAAGAATCGTTAGATGTATAACAATGACTGACCTGAGGAGCGCTGAGCCAATGGTACTTCTCCTCTGAGTGTTGCATGGCACGATCCCAGTTATTAAGGAATTTGTATTTGAGTAGAGGATCATCGACAAGGTGCCACTGCCGACGCGCGTAGTGGTAGCTGCTGTTGTTACCCTGTCGTGGGAAGTCCAGCCACTCCGGATGACCAAACTCATTGCCTACATGAAGATCAGCAGTACGACACTTCATTCCTCGAACCAATCGATCTGCCCTCTGATCCCCTCCTTATTTTCCATCATGACCTCCGAATTTAGTTCGTATTTTGAGAACCATGACGCTCATTCACCGAACAAGTGATTTCTATTCCAAACTTTTGTAAAGTACTTTGATAACTATTTGACGAAACTGATTTTGACATTTGAAATTGTGTAAAGGAATAACTTCTTGTTGTTCCAGATAGATGCACTCTTCAAATCGTTTTGCACGTAGCCTCAGCCCTACAAATTTTGCTTTAAAGCACTGCTACTTATCTCAAAAAGGCTGCTGAACAGAAGGCGGTTCTAATGCATTAAGCTTTCAAGAAGCCCATGTAAATAAATGAAGACTTGAATGATGTGACTTTAACTGTTTTCAATTTTGTATTATGGAGCTCTTATTGGTTTGATAGATGGCATGCCTTTGAGACCACCGGTCGCGGATGGAACCGGAAGGTGTAAAAGTGACGACAGATTGGCGAGGTCATCTTTCCAGTGACTCATCCTGACCTCTAAACCACACAACTATGCTCTCCATCTTGGAGAAGTCAGCATCACCCTGTTGTTTGGACAGTCGAAACCTGTAGGATGGCGTATTGTAAGAATGCATTGTTCCGGATTATTCAAGACTTTGCATTTCTCAGACGGCTCCTTATCACTCTAATGTCAAAAGTTTTAATGTCCATTTCTAAACATGTTAGCTCCACCACAATCACATCATGGATTCAATGTGGAGTGATTCATTAGGATGGGCCTATTACGTCTAACATCATCAGCCGCAGAAGCAGAATGCAACATTTTTTCAGCTCACTAACAAAAGTATAACTTAATTGACTCGATCATAAAATTAAGTGTTGTCCCTTTTGACTAGTTGCAAGCATAATTAACAGTTTTCTTATGCTAAATACCATAAATTAAGCTTCCATAAATGTCTCGGCTAAAAGATGGCTAAAGTTCCTCCTGGGGATTAGTTTACATGTTGCAAAAGCCTCGTTAAAAAAGTAGCTGCAGTAGATTTCCACGTCTTTTCCCAACTGGAGGCATTGTACCGTGAATTTCCACCACAGATCTATCGATTGGATTATGCAAACCGACGATGCTAAGGTCAGACGTGATTCTACGCTCAGCGAGTGCACCGTTTCCGGTACAGCAGTTTCTAGTGTTGGCTGCCACAGTGTTCGCAGTGGGTCATCGTGACCCACTTCAATCACGTATACACCTGCTCTTAACAGCGGATTGGATAACAGAAAGAAATGAAACAACTTAGTTCTTGATTAAGAATTAGCTACTTTAAATAAAATGCATTCACTAAAACTCTCATGATGTGCTCAATTTCAATACTTTGACATTTATAAACAGCAGACAAAGCCAACATAGTGAGAAGACTTGATCAAGAGGCTAGATAAAGCGCACCCATGAAATTGAGATACCCCTCGCCGCCGAGCGAGTGCGTGATGAATCGGATCATTTTGTGCAGCGCGATGCCACGATCAATAATGAGACTGGGATCAGAGAGAGTACTCATGTGGGTGTACATCTCCTTGTCCATTAACCAGAATGAGATAGTTTTGTCGCCCACCAGAGCCTGGTCGTGACACTCTGCATAGGCGATGTTAGCCTCGCCCCACCGTCGATTCGTCAGGCTGTGCACTATCTTTCCCATGTCCCAGTCTTCATCCGAGCGTTTCTTCAAGAACTATACACGTCCAAAAATAAAGACTTTCAAATAGGTAACTCTCAGTTGCTTGCCATCAATGTAAGCAAGGTATTTCAGACATTCTTCTGAGTTAGTATTATATACATATATACCTCGTATAAAGCTTAAGTATCGAAGTGATTATTTATTGTAAGAATTTCAATGCCAAAATATCGTTACATGAACCTGAAAGCGATAAATAATCTTAAGTTTGGGAAGCAACCGCAATGCTCAAAAATATGCATGCTATAAAAGCTTTCGCAGGTTTACACAATAGGCTTTTGGTAGCTCAGTAAACGAATTCGAAACAACCAAATGAAGTGCACCATGCCCAAGTTCTTTTACATCTGAATTACGGACAGCGATGTTTACGAAGGCAAACCGTGCATGTGATGGATACCTGCAACCCCTAGGTTAAGTGTCGGTCCTCGCGAAAAAATTGGAAGAGCTCAGTTATGATTCAACACGAATAAGCAAATTTCCATGTTCTCAAACAGAAACAAGTAGGACACGCAAACCACCCTGATGATTTATTGTAAAATTATGTGTGGTTATAAAGTCGTACTAATCTTTTGCTTGTCTTCAGACATTTCATATTTCAATAAAGCGGCATTCCGAAATACAGCAGCCAATGAACTCAGTCGATTACAGTTTTGGTACCGCACATACATTTACTTATTGGTCTACAAACAGTACTAAAACACCTCCTGCATTCGAAAATAAAAGCATATTAACCTTTGCTAAGTTAATCCAGAGCATATTTTTTGCGCGCATTCTAATACTATACCCTACCATCATTAACATCACCAAACCTAGAGTTTATGCTGTTTAGACCAAGCATTTATCACATCACAATTGATAGTATTGTATTCCGGACGTGAGTTCCATAGATTATTTACTTTGCGTGAAGGTCACCAATCCCTAGAATCCGTACGATCACACTCAGTAGCAGTGTCAAGAAATGGAAATGTAACGCATTTAAATCTGCGCTGAATGTGATCCCCCGAATAGATGAAAAGTAGCGGACGATGAAAAATGTGACGCTCACCGCAATCCAGAGATCAGGAATGGCCATGGCGAGGCGGTAATCAAACCCTGCTCCTCCTTCGTCCACGGGACGGCAGAGAGTAGGCATGCCACTCACTTCCTGTGTTGAAAATCAATGTTGTTACTCTTATTGACATCATCTTTTAGCACACTACAATTAACTTCAGATTTAATCTGAATTCTATTTCAATTGGTATTCGCAAGGATTTATCTTCGCGGCCACATGTTGTCTAACTTACAAAGACATTCAAATACATCGACCATTAATGTCCGTAGAAATAAAGTCCGCACTTTTAGCATGGTGTACAAGAGGCACGAATGAAATGCTATCGAAAGCATCACACCAATTTTCTTCATTCAGTACTGGAGAAACGAATGCATATTTCCACATTTTGCGGAGCATATGTTTCATTTGGAGCTAAAGGTATTCAAACAAACCTCCGCAATGGTGATAGCAAAAGGGTACTTCTTGTGCAGAAAGCTATTGGCTAACATGAGGTAGGTCCACGACTCTGTATCCACCGAAAGCCCAAAGTAGTCGCCATAAGATCCCGAGAAATCGGTGTTGAGACCGTGATGATGGTAGATCATAGACATAACGCCGTCGAAACGGAAACCATCAAAACCATACTCTTCAATCCACCATCGCAGATTCGAGAGGAGGAATCGAAGGACTTCCAACCTGGAATTTAAGCATTGTGCTCACTTAGATAGTAAGCCAACATAGTCACCACGGTTAACTCGTATTTATGATCTAAGTGATCAAACAATAACTACTCTCAATTCTACAAAGCCCATAATGACCTACATCATGGGATATGCATTCGGAGTTAATTATCAACATACGCTGATCTATGTTTTAGATGTTCCCTTGTAATAAGACTACCAAATGAGCAAAGGTTGTTGAGAGCATTTACTACAATTATGTAATACTAGTAAAACTTTAACCCGCGAAAATATACTCAGTGTAATTGAAGAGACGAGAATCCCAGAGCTGGTGAACTCCTCTGCCATGATCATGAAAGTAGCAAGAGTCCGTTCCATCGAACTGATTCAATCCATCCGCAGTGTTTTTAGATGCGTGACTATGGACCACATCGAGAAAAACAATAATGCCCTGGCGATGGCACTCATCTACCAGCTCCCTCAACTCGTCTGGTGTCCCGTAGCGACTAGAAGCGGCAAAGAAGTTAGTCACTTGGTAGCCAAAGGAGGCATAGTAGACGTGCTCCATGACCGCCATCAATTGGATACAATTGTATCCCAAGTCTACAATCCGCGGCAACACCTTGTCCTTGAACTCTAGGTAGGAGCCGACCTTCAACTCCGATGTCGCGATGCCAACATGAGTCTCGTAGATTCTCAGAGCCCTTGGTCTAGGCGGGTGGGGGTTTTTGAATTCGTAGCGCTGCAATGTCCATTCAGATTTTGTGAAATTCAGCTTACCGAAGGTGGGTTATAGAATACTTGGTCATATATTATGTTCTTGTCAAAGTTTTTCACATATGATGCCCATGGACTAAGGCGGTCATGCTTGGCTCCATCTGGTCCAATTACCAGAAGCTGAAAGTTTAAAAACCATCATCCCGATTACCTTCACCTTTGAGAGATGCGGTATCACCGGCTTCCCATCACCCGAAGTTGGTGGAATAACAAGTTGCCATTTTCCAAACTCAAGTTTTTCGAAGGGGTACTCAAACTCATTCCAGTTATCTATTAAGAATACAGTAATTGGTACCCGTGAAACAAACTGAAGTCGCCCCGAAGGTAAAGTGCTTTGGCTCCTGGGGCCCATTCGCGACATTTAATTGTTCCATCTGGATCCGAGTGGATTCCGAACTCTTTGTAGCCTTGAGTAAATAATTCCATTCCACCGACGCTGTCTATCCACTTGTAATAATCTTCGAAGCACTTGTATCTTAAGATTACATGGAAAAATGGCTCGACCTAGTCGATTGATGGTAAAGTTCAACAAAACTGCTCAAAACCGTTACCAAAGTGTGCGCCTATTGCATATGCTAGCGAAAAATGAATATTCGTACACATTGTTGATCCACTCTAACTGACTTAAACATCATAGTAGTACAAAAACATATACATATACATATTAAATAAATCTATAATAGACAAACGACGACGAAAAATATTCTAGCAGGTCCACCACTACCACCTCCTAGGCTCAAAAAACTGTCAAAGTTCTTTACCCTCAAGCTTAGATACTTAGCAAATAATACTGGCGTCTTTACCTGACAAGCAAATAAGCATACACAATTACGCAACATTTTTTAAACGAAACCTACCTCCGTTTGATTTCATACCTATACGGTTCTAACCAAGGATCAAGTTCGAATAAGTGCTCTCCGTTGGGAATTTTAACCGCATTTACTTCCTCAGAAGTATAAAACATGACGCCACCGAAGGGATCAGTAGGAGCAGCACCGATTCACCTTGACGTCGATCCGCCTATTTACTGACTTGGATAAATGTCAAGCATTATAACAAAATTGCCCTAAAATCAAGGATTAGTGAGTGCTCCATAGTCAGATGGCAAAAAATGACAACAATTTTATTGCTCTTTAGACACCTTGCAATTAAAACATATATTTGGGCGGGAAATATTTCTCGTTGCGGTTCATTCTATTAAGTTCTTAAAATTACGCGAGTTTTGTTTAAAACATGAATTGTGGAGTCGCTGTAGTGTTCCGAGACTTCCCACCGGGTAATGGAAGGCAGTTAGTGAAGTTGGACACATGAATTCTAGAGGGAACGAAGCGTCTAGTCCTGGGCATGACCCGAAGGCCAGCCCGCATGTACAAGGGCCAGACAAACCTTGAAGTGATCACTACACATCAGGTGGTCACATAAACAACACATTACAGTCCAGTTTTACGCATTGCATAAAATTGCTTAAGAAATGGGCCTTAGACAACTGTACTTTGACCTCTCGATTAGGCAGAAAGCACATTTCTTGGGCTACGTGCATCTATTTTAGCAAAAGTGAAAGAAAATACAACTTTCGACAAACAAACAGAGTGCTACATTCAACATCCTCTTTGGCATAGTCCTTAAAACGCTTTTTCATCTCACGATTTGGAGCAATTGATAGTTCATGGGCTAGACACAGAATCCTCCGCGAGCTTTAAGCCGCTTCATTAAATCATGCAAAGGCAAATGGTTTACGGTTGTCATTGTATGTTATTCTACGTTCTATGGTGGTCCCAATATGGAACCTTTTGCTGGCCGTTCTTGCTAGTTCTTCTCTAGACGTTCTATTCTTCCTTTGGGGTACTTCAGAAAAAGGTCTTTTGTAAGAGGCCATATTAAGCATATCAAAGATTACTGTGGCATGTAAGGATTGTTGTTAGGGTACATAAAGGTGACACACTGGCTTTGGAAGTCATCCTCGTGCTCCGCGGGCACGGCGTTCGAATTTAAATTCCGCTTCACGCATGCAAAGGGCACCTTTAGCACTCGATTTTATATTCCAGTTGTATCCTTATCGTCTGCATAGGTAGGTCATTGAAAGTGACTGAATCCTTTGATACACAGTGGCATAAATTGATGCAGCGTTGCCATGTTCCTAAGGCCATCCTATCTGGAAGGAGCACGATGGCCACCCGCCAAAAACAGACCGCCACAAACACAACATTGCAGTGTGTAGCTCTTGTTCGTGTTAGTAGTTTCATTCCTCGCTGTACGCCAGTTATTCCCTTGGCCCTGCCTTCTCCTTCAGAAATGTCTTGGGGGCTACGATGGTGGTAGGGGAAGGCGCACGTGATCTTTAAGATATTCTATCCTAATTAATACAGTTAGATGTTGACCATCAGAGGGGCAGTGGTAATGCGTACACTATGGATTAGGCTGAAAATGGCTTCCGTCTTCGACAACTAACCCAGTTAGACATTGTTCACTTAGGTTTACAACAGTAGAAACGAAACAAGACTTTCTTACGGAACCCACTTAATTGCACAATCTTTTCGATCGAAGGTTCAAGTGATCCTCTTCGTTTCCCTACCAACTGCATAGGTCCTAGAGAGAAGGAAATGGAGATTTATAAAGTAAAAAGGGAAGGACCAAGTGCGAGATCCTACTCAAGCGAAGGTGTTAAAGTTCCTTTTACCTCCCAAAAGGTAGCAAACGTAGTCCTCCGTACTCCAAACTGAACGAAGCCCATCTTTATTCAACTTCCGAAAAGGGATCGAAACCATCCTATTGACACGGCTGGCTTGCAGGTGTTTTTTTATATGTATTTTCAATTTTGTAATTGATAATGCACAAGGATAACAATACTCAGAATAAGAAGGAGATTATGCATTGCAACTGTTGTGTATTCAGTTCTGGTCACTTGAAAGATACGTAGTTACTTCGCTCTAATACCGCGAATGCATCCAACTTCGCGCAAATCTCAAATGGTAGCAATTCGCCATCACCATAGCCACTGATATGGTAGCTACATGAGTAGAACGTCATAATCCCATTTGGATTACGAAGAATCGAAGAGCTCGACACCCATGTGTGCCGTAGCATTATTAAAATTCCACTTAAGGTAAGTTAGTGGAAGAATTTGGAGTTTTTTGACACGATGAAAATGCATTAAAAGTATGCGATTTGCATCTCTCCTTTGTCTTTTCCAAAGTTGTTAACATTCACAGGCCCTTGAGAAAATTCGATTCAATCGTAAAAGGACCTTAAGAGATGGTGATATGGCCTGACAACAATGCCGTTCAGTGGAAGTACAGACCCCAAAGACTCGAATGCCCGCTTAATCAAAAACAGAGTTAAGCAACCCGCAGCTTTACAAAGTCCTTCTCCTTTCAGTGTCATGTAACATGTGCTTCGGATGACTACCTTCGAACTAGTTCTAAGTTAAAGAAATTGGTGGTTGGTCGCAGCGAATCTTGCACGGGAATGGTTCCACTAAAGCCTTGTTCGCATTTAACTCAGTGTGTCCCCAAACAGCTGTTCTCAGATAAGCCAAGAATGTTGATCTTAGGTCACTTAGGCTCTGCCTAATTATGTACTAATTCGTTGTTTGTATGTTGAAATGATGAGCACAGGAGCGAAAAACTAGAAATGAGGTGGTCGATATTTCCAAAAAAATTTTATTATGATTATGCCCAAAAAAGGTCATTAAAATAGCTACAGTTGGGAAGGGATCAGAATTCTTCAAAAATGGTGAAATTATTTTCCAGGGCCTGATCTGCATGTTCGTGTGCTGAAGGTCTGGGGGTCATCGTGTAGTCATAAGGCGGGGAAATCTTTTGCTCAAAGAGACTGTCCCAATCAACACTAGAAAACCATGGGTGGTTCCGAATCTCCCTTGGGCCCTCCCTCGCCAACGAGCCGTATCGCTGAGACACCTCGCGCTGGAGTAACTGGCGCAAAAGATGGCGCAGAGTTTCGCCTATACGTACCAGCCCACTTGTGATGACATTCTCTAAAGGATCGCGTCGAGGATCGAGGATCTTGGCATAAGTATTGGCAACATCCCGACTGACAAACGGCGAAGCGCCGACAACCATTTCATAGAGCAGAATCCCAAAGGCCCACCAATCAACGGAAAATCCATAGCCACGATGCCTTAAAATCTCTGGTGCTAGGTACTCCGGTGTCCCACAGAAGGTGTATGTCCGATGGATTACAAATTTGGCAAAGCCAAAATCAACTAACTTCACATAGCCGTTGTGAGAAATCATTATATTCTCTGGCTTTATATCCCGATGAATGATTTGCAGATGGTGAAGATACTCCAGGGCCAGAAGCACTTGTGCCCCATAAAAACGGGCTAATCGTTCATCGAAACGATGTAAATGCCGCAGCATTGAAAAAAGATCCCCACCCGGCACAAATTCCATTACCAAATAGAGCCGCTTCAAATCCTGAAAAGCGTAATTGAGTTGCACAATGAAGGGCATGTCGCACAGGGCCAAAATAGCTCGTTCGTTGTTAACGTGAGTGACGTGCCCCTTGCTTATGACAAATGCCTTCAACAATATCTTCGCAGCGTGCCAGGTCTGTGTGGTTTTGTGTCGAAGGAGGCGCACTTCACCAAAGCCTCCTCGTCCAAGGGTCTGATAGAAGGAGAAGTCAGAGCACTTACTCACGGGTAGTTTAGGTGGCTGTAAACGGTGACTTGCCTTGTCACGCTTAACATCCACCATCCCGTCAATTCGCTTCCTCTCCACCTTCAAAAAATCCTCCCAAGTAGAATCACTGGAGTTTCCAACTGATCGCATCGCTAAGCTGGAGTGAACGAGCACAAACGCTTGGTATCTCTGTGCTAGAGCGAGACCGACGCAGCGAGAGATGGAGGCGTGCATAACCAATCGACCTTTGCCCAATTAATTAGTTACTTTAATTGTGTGCGCAAGTGCAATCTGGTACCCACAATAGACCCAGACTCACAAATGGACAGTGAGCCACGTTGAGCCGTGCGATGTTTTGTTTGCTCCCTCTACCTTGGAAGGTAAACTAATGACTCATTTGAGAATTGAATTTGACTTTTAAAACCTAAATGAATTTTAAATTTGAAAGTCATCCACTCGCCAAGCTATGGTAATTCCTCATGTTGGCCGTACCTTCAGATCAGCTGAAAGTATTTTAATGGAACCTTCCATTACAAATCATGACAGTAGCTAAATTTATCCTGTACAACTACCATAATTTCACCTATTAGTGACTGGTAACTCGATGTAAATCCACATCCATTTAGCTGCATGACGGTAAAAATGTCCAATCACGAACTATTTACGCATGGCAACTGTTAATAACCTCCTTTCGAGCTGCTTTATTGATAGTGCCTTACAGAAAGCCAACGCATTAATCAACACGATGCAGGACAAGCATAGCGTTACTGCTTCATTACAGAACATTTTCAGAGCCCATACCCGAGATGATGGGTGAATGGGCCTCAATTGAGGTGGTACGAGGTGTATTCTACTTCCGAAAACCCATAGAAACGGCTAGTCCAAGGTTTGAATGAGTAGCACCTTTAAACACTATTCGAAAGGCTTGGTCCAGCTGTCAACCCAAACAATTAGACGCTAGCAGTTTAACTTCGTCATACGCTAAACAGCAGTTTGCGAGCATTTCAATGTTGCACTGAGTAGTATGGGAAACGAAATCGACTGGGTTACTGAAAAAGAGTACAATTTAAAGTTACTCCATTCTGACCGCCAATTGCCGACCAAGATAACTCGATCCAATATTATTCCATGGAGTATTTACAAAACAAGTAATGCACCAATATTCCAATGCTTTATACAAATGAGAGTGTACATCAACTCCCAGGAACGTCAAGAAGTTACCAGGGGTGATTCCTCCATCTGCAATTTCCTGATCCCATTCATGTAAGGCCAGAGAATGCGGGGTATGTCAATACTCCCATCCTACATCAATGAAAAGTAGCATTATCAGGAGTACCTCCCTTAAAACGTACAAATTAGTAATGGTAGAATGCATGCTAGGTCAGTGACATCATTTGAGCTCAATTGGAAGCGTGATTAAGGTCTCAAGAGACTAAAATCACATTTGGAACGAGAAAGCTACTATACATTTAGTCTTTCGCATAGGATTTCCAAGGAAAATTGGAAAGAATTCGACTTTTAGTCGGTCTCATTTTTTACTGCAATAAATTAAAACACTCCAAATTATAAAATGCCTTACAGAATTCTGATTTGTTTCGACAAGCGCCTTTAGAATTCGCGTAACAGCACAACCGGTTCCATTTAACTGGCAAAAACAAAAAAAAACGAAAGATAGCGGTTGAGACAACTGCATACAAAAAAGTGCCTCAACACAAACCCACCGTGTAAGCGTAAGGGTGACGGCCCTCTTTGGAATCCCGCTGTTTCCAAAAGATGTTTAATCGGATGGCTTGGTAATCTGTGCAGTTTGACGTGCTAGAAACCTAAGCGACAAAATATGCACCACTTTTCAGTTTTCCTTGTTCTGATGTCGAAACATTACATAATTAGCAAACGCCCCACTGAGCTATGTAATAAAGATCCTTAAAATTGATATCGGTTGGTTCAGTTAAGCAGCAATCATTTTACACAGCTCCAAACACACTAGTGCCGAAGATATGCCACGAATATCGTTACCTCCCCAAATATTCCTTCACCAGGCATAAGCGCCTCAATGTCAATTTTTCGATGGGCGGAGTTACCAAGCTCACTTGTGGGCATCTCTAAGACACTACAAAAGAGTTGAGAAAAAGGTAATTGCATTTTGGTGATTTAATTTTCAGGTATACTTAAGTGGGAATTGATAGTAGCAACAAAGTAGTGCCCACTTAAAAACTGGGCACTAGCTTTAACTAGCGAACCGAAAGTGCAGCTCGAGATCTGAATAGAGTTCCTTTTGAAATTCAACAATCCTTTCGAATGCCCTGTCCCCAACCTCCGGAGAAGGCTCGGTCACGCAAAATATTTCTACCTAAAAATAAACTTCGACCGTCGAAGGAAAAGCAACATAACCAGGGTACAGCCCGAAGGAGTAAAGAGACGTACTTTGGTGAACTGATGCGTTCGATAGAGTAGAGACTCTTGCGGTGCAATCTCATGACGGAAACAACGGCTGATCGCACAGAAGAACTCCGCCTCGGTGGTGTCTATTCCGCCGAACACACGATCTGCACAGAACCCCGCCAGTGCCATCTCCGCCGTTCCTGATAAAGAGAACAGCGTTCTATCGCCAAAACTGCTTTCCTCTCGCCCGACAACATTAAATATCTGAAGGCAGAGACGTCTGATGCTTATAATTTTATTCAATAGCCAACACCAATTATTTAGTGAAATGACCAATAGACAAAAAAAATTTAAACATACTTGATTTCTTGCACCAGTGATAGGAAAGCCGCAGCGTTGGATGACGGAAGTGGGGAGGAGATCAGGAACCGTGATGAGTTGGAACCCAGCCTTACGAGTTCGATCAAGGGTGAGTTGAAGCAAGGCGGCTTCGAGGACAGCAAGACTATCGTAAAAAGCATAGGCTCGGGGACCACAGCCGGCTGTAAGCGATCTTGACGATCTCAGAGTTCCAAGACCTGTTCTACGACCTCGATTCCTCCATCTGTGCGAAACGACTTCGTTCGATAGCAATTCGATTTCATTCTTCGCTTGCGGAACTTAAAAGTAAAGCATAACACTGGCGTAATTATCTGCTATGCCTCAGTGCAGATATGAAAAGTTTAAAAAGAGTACGTACTAAATTTCGGCGAGCCATGAATATGGAGAAGTCGAAATTTACTAGAATCGCCTATGGGCTACAAATTAGGAAACGATTAGTCTGGACAAAAGAAGCAATGTACTTACTGTACTCGAGTGACTGAAATTCGGTAACGAAAGGTAAAGTTGCTCTAGCCTCGGCTGAAGATCTCTCTCACCGCTCTGAAGGCGCTGATAAAGTGAGAGCTAAAAACGTCATGACAAAAGATTAAAGCGAACTTTGTGCATCGAAACGAATTGGGGCGGCCAAACACCTACCATTTCATCAAAATTCGCTTCGGAGTTCCGCTCAATCAGATTTTGACGCATGCGTTGAATGAACTCAGCACAGCCTAATTGATGAAAATCAGCCATCGCAAAGGACGTGGAGGGCGATAACGTGGAGGCAAAGAAACGGCGACCACCATTTGAGCCCCAGATACACCCTGATGTAATTGAAAAAATCGACTGCACAGCCCTCCAGATTGCCTAGGCAACAGGAATTCGCAGATAGTTGTGATTGAATCCCAAACGAAATGCTCCTTAAGATTGACTTTCTGTCGGCTTATCCTTGAACAAAGGACGAGCCCGTAAATCAAACCTGGGATAGCACTATTCACTGCTTGTATTTTAACAGCTGGAACTTTCAGGCAAGTTAATACCTATTTTCAATTAAAAAGTTGCAGTATTTGTTATTAAAATGGTAGATGAAGTTAAACTGCATACAAATTTCCTGAGCCAAACAACACCCCCAGGCCCCATCTTTTGCATGAGATAGAACTCTAACATCATCAGAGAAGAACAGCAGTCTTTAACACATCACCAGTCCACTTTGTCTCATTCTAGCAGGCAAGGTAGACAGCAGCACAGAAGTGATCGGCCTCCTGTAATACTGCATTATGCATTTAAAAAATGTTATAAACCCATAGACTCCCTAACGGTTTTCAGTTAGTGCACTACTAAAATCGGCAATCAAAACTGGGGGCTAGTAAGTGACAAGCAAGCAGGCAAAAAAAATGAACCTTTAAAGCCTGTCACGGATTAGACCAATTCTTTGTTTCTAGTATTCAAAGGACCAACATAAGCCCACCGTTCCAAAAGTCGATTCAACGAACCAAACAATATATTACGAATTTACATGTAATACACAATGCATTGAAAGGCAATATACTGTATCACGTCAACCACTCAGGGCAAAATTAATTGAGCCATTAAGATCCGACAATACCTTCATGACTGCAACAATTTCCTTCCGGGACTCATCCGCCACGCATCTGTTGATGGCCGACTAAAATAGATTGGTAAAGGCCAAACAATGAAACCAGTAGTCTGGTTACGCAAGCTTTTGTTTTAGAAAGGCATATAACCTTAAGACGTGCGATATATACGTTGATACACATTTTAAGGGAAGAGAGGGTGGAAGTGATGAAAGCCTTCATCTCCGGATCGGATGTAAAACTGCTCACGCGGTCGTTGGGACTGAGAAGCTTTACCATGAACTGGAGATCCGTCAGAAGATCCTCTCTTACTGTCTTATCGAATTCCCAATCCGAAGCCGCAGATCTGAGACGGCATTGATAGGATCGTTGGAGGTACTGAATTGCCTGTAAAGGTAGAAATAACTTACCAATTTTTCAAGATAACCAACTAACTGCATTTTAGGGCAACAAATTAGTGCAGAAAACCGAAAGTTAGATTAAATGTTATAAAGTAGCATAAAAGGCGCGCAACGTCAAAAATGAGGTTTTTCAACTATGGTGGACGCACTGAAACAAGAGAACGAAAACTCACGCGTTGAAATTGTACAGGGTCCATTTCAGCATCAGAGCCAAGAATGAGATTCGCATAGTGTCGCCAGCTGTCCGCGTCAGAGGGATTCTGAAAACCAAAGACGTAAAAGTAAACATAACCACAGGCCAGTAGGAAAAAGAAAGAATCAATTAAACTCACAGTGGATGTGACACGACCTAAGAGGGTCAGAAGGTCTTTGCGGAACCTAGCTGCGCCGCAATTCTTGCTATCCAAAAGGTTTTCGGACACTGCTTTTGTGAGCATGCCTAGAACCTGAGAGTCGATATGTTTGTGGCGCAAGTCGATCAGCCGATGGTAGGCGGTAATCGCATCCCCAAAGGAGCGCTCATCCATGGCAACCTGGAGTAGAGAGGCACCTAAAACTTTTGATAACACTCAGGGAGAAAATGGCAAAGATTAGAGCACAACACTAACCAGCAAAATGTTCTCCCAAATTCGCCAAGAATCGAAGTTCCATTTGGTAGCTTCTTTCAATAAGGCCAGCGACTGTGTTCTGAAATAGGTAGATTAATGGAACTGAAGTTTATTTTAGGAAAACGTAGCCTTTCACAGTACATTATGGGTTAGAATTGTAAATAATTAAAAGGAGGCTATAAATCCTTTTTACCGCTATAAGAATATGGTTAACGAATCTTTAGCGGCTCTTGAAATAGAAAAGGGACATAAAGACATCTTACCTACGTCCACTAAAGATCACCGAGCTCGCCAAATTGTTCCAGGCTTCAAAATTCTGCAAAAGAAGTAAAATTTCGTTAAAAATAGATCGGCGTGGGGATCTGATAGTTTCTGTTAGCAAGAACAGAAATTCATTTGTCCCTACCCATTTCAACTCCCGAAATTCAGACACTTAATATCTGGCAATTTTCTAGGGAATAGATAATAAACACAAAGGAGCACCAAATAGCTTCTACAGCGAAAAAACTTACATCAGGCTCAAATGTGACACAATATCTAAAGGCCCTCTCAGCCTTTGAGAAGTCGCGAAGTTGGAGATAACAGCAACCGAGCGTAAACCAGAGGTTGACCTTATTTAGGGGTGAAAAGTAAGCTAGTAGAGATGCAAAGCCGATCGTAAGCAAGTGCACAAAGAAAGGAATTACCTGAAAACGGTTTTGATCCAAAGAAGCCTCAAAGTACTCAGCAGCTTTCTTCAAATCCTACAAAATAAGACGATGGAAAAAGCCCGCTTTGAGAAACACGGAGCAAGAACTCGCAATTAATAGACCTTGTCCTTCCCCATAGCGTAGTATCCCAAACTGCGAACGGCTCTGGATGATCTGTGTTTCGAGAGTTCCCAAGCGGTCTCGTAGTGTGTTGCGTTAGAAGTCACGTCACCAAGACAGCAATAGAGTTCCGGAGTCTCATGTCCACTAGCGATACGCTCACGAATCACCTTTTCAGCCTACGAGTGAAGTCCAATAATTAGCTTTGGTAAAAGCAACAAGCACCTACCAAGTCACGCTTGCCAAGTGAAGTGTAAGAGCTGATAATTTCATCCCACTGTTGCCAACGGAGGTAAATATCAAGAGCGCTTTTGGTTGACCCAATCGTAGTGAGAGAACGAGCGAGTGACAGCTAGTGTTTTATAGGCGTAAATTGGAATACACGCACCTCTATCTGCCACTGCGACGGCATTCGAGACCAGAAAAAGTGTTGCATACCCCTCTCCTCTGTTCCAGGCGTTGGCGAAGAGAACTGAGCCATTAGCTCTTCAAGCTGCCGGATAGCTCTTTCAGTTCTGGCCAGCGACCGCCTCTCATACAAGCCTCGCTTGAAGAGTGCTTCAGTGAGTACAGGCCATGAAACTGCATTCTTCGAAGCACTTTCAAAAGCCCCATTATCGTTTGTCTCGACTTTATTACCCTCCACAATCGCACGAACTACGGTTGTTACGTAAGTTAGTGATTGCTCGTCGATCAAGTCATCATGGGGGTGCGAACGTCGGTGCAGTTCCCTACAAATCGACAAGAGGAATTACAAGAGGATGTATGAGCCCACCCGCTACACAAAACAAATGCCTGATCGGAGACTGAAAGCTTCTGGTCTGTAGCTCTTGTATCGTCCACAAATTTGATAAAATCCAGCAAATTATCATCCTCCAGTGGACAAATCTAAATTTTAGTCAAAAGATACAAAACAAACTTTCGGCTGAGCTGTTGAACCATTGGGTAAGAAAAGGGAGAAATTCGTGGCATTTGTCCGCTCAACAACCAAAGTAAGCTGTGACAAAGGGTTCTCCTGAGCCTTGGTCTTCGTTCCCAGATCGGCTGGAGCGATATATAAGATGCATAAAAGATACCTGAAAATCTAACTTTCAGATCCAAAATAGTTTCACACAATCCTTGAAACCGATTAGCTAAGCTGAGATCATAGTAAAAAGCAGCCATGAAGCAGCCCAGTAGGCAAAAGGAGAGTGAATCCTGGTCACGTCTAGCAGCGAAATCATTTAAGTCAACTAACATGGCATAGGAGAGAACAATCAGAACTACCATGTTTCAGAATGTCATCAAAATCTGCCTTGATCGAAGGGCATCTTCGTTCACCATATATATTTTGGTACAGATAAATGGACTTCATATAATTCACAGCATAAACGAAGGTCTACACAGTAAGATAACACAAAACGTACCATAACCCTGGAGGTCATAATCATATGTCGGGAAAATTCTTTACAAAACCAGAGCAAGGACAGATTACGAACTAGAGGAAATGGAGTTTCGCCATCGACAGATAGGCACTCATAGGCCAGATTATCCATTTGAGAAAGATCCAAAGGAAGGTCTGAAGGGGGGCCCACGAAATTATTCTTAACATAGACGCTTAAAATGCATTCTAAAGCCTGTAAAGGAGGCAACGAGCTGGGCAGGAATGAAGAAAACAAGGATAAAATACGTCATTGCAAGTTCCTCAGTAAATTTACTGAAGTTTGGATTCCGTAACTCCAGCCCCTCAATACGTTTTAGGACCGTTAATAGGAGCTCAGTAGTTCCATCTTCCATGACTCCCTCTAAAATGGTCGAAACCTAGCCAGAACCACCCAACGTGACAATTATCGATACTGGAGACACCAAATAGGGCGCCGTTGAGTTAAGCAGTTTCAAGATTTGATTAAAGGTAGACTTGTCAGTTGTATCAATATAATATAAAAGTTATATTAAATTCTATCCATTAGCAATGGCATACCCGCGAAAATACGATGCTCATTTAAGAATTAAGCATCATTTAAAATTGAACTCACAATGAGCCTGCTCAAGAACATGATGGACTGTGCTACATGGCGGTTATAAGTCAACACTACATTAATCATACCAGTCCTAACTAAGTCCTATGAATGCTTCATTTAGCAAAAGGGTGCAGAGTACAGGGGATAATTTGGGACCAGATGGAAAGGAAGCCCCGTTATAATTTGATCATGTGAACACTCGTATGCCTAATGGCTGTATTTGCCTTCATTTTGCTCGCGTGCATGTAGTCTGGCCTTCAAGTTGAGCCTACTCTTAATCGTTTCGCAGAATCCGGCGTCTCGAGGCTCGGCAGCAAGTTCAAGTGATTACAAATCTGACCGTCATTGGCTCTTTATTCGAGATTAGAGTACCCAATGCCAGGAAGAAGTACGAGGAAATAGGAAAGCACATAAGGTCCCGAATTTTTCAGCTAATAGAAGAATACAATAAGTAGAGTCAACTACGCGCACTCTAGGCAAGGGAAGAGAGATTTGGCTTTGATATTGTGATGTCTTGTTTATGTTTGGCCCTTGTACTTGTGGGATGGCCTTCGAGCCATGCTCAGACCCATTCGCTCTGCCCCCTTCGGAATACATGTACCCAAACTCACTTACTGCCTTTTTCTACCCTATGTGAAGTCTCAAGACGCTACAGATATGACTTGAAAACCGACCCATGCAAAATGGCGATGTAATGCATTGTTTATATGAGGTTTGACATCACTAGGGGTTATTCTTGTATCTGTTCTTCTGTTGTGTATATAGGCTGCCTCTGGCTAATCTGGAGTCCTGTCTCTCCTCCTTCTCTTTAACCACAAGTAGTGCCTATACTTACTGCCTTCTCCATCATAATAAGTCTTAAATGTCACAGGCGTACTAAAAACCAAAGTGGTCTCCAGTCAATGAGTCTTCCATTCTCGTTCTGGGGTCACGCCGATATGCCTCAAGCTTCAAATGAGTGATGAGTGCTGTTGTAGCGCCTGAGGCTTCCTGCCCTATAGATGGAAACATAAAGTGGAGCCGAATACATGTATTCTAGGGAGAACAAAAAGATTAAGCCTGAGCTTGGCTCGGAGGATAGTCTACGCGTACAAGGACCAGACGATTGTAAAGGGACCGCCATACATTAGGTGGTAACGTGAACATGGTATTAAAACTATGACCAAGTTTTGTCCTGATATATACTGGCGCAACTTATGTAACGACTCAGACAAAGTCGTAAATATGTAACCAAATTATATCCGTATGAAATTTTTACACTTCAAAAGGCTTAACCCATTACTTTTTAACAAAATAATTTAGATCACTATCAAGGAATTCATTTGCCAAAACTCTTTTAAGCTTCATCTGTTTTAAAAGTGGGATCAATAAAAGAGCTCTTTGCTGGTGTTTAGGTGTAATCGTATTCTAATTCATTCTAATCTTGAATTTCAATCTAAAATTTGTCAACGATAACACCCTTTCTCGTTTCACTAGTATATGCGTAGGCGTTTGAAATGCCCCTCGTCAGTGCGGTTCTTGTGATCTTGTTCGAGCGGTGTAGTGTTTGAGAATGCAAAACGTTGCTGCTTCTGTAACAGATACTTTTGGGAACATGAGGTATCGTTGTGAAAATTTAAATGGGCTTTTTCCCTAGACCATGGTTCCAAAAAGTCACTAATCAGGCCAAAACAACAGATTCAAAATACTTTACCACTACGAAAAAGGGTGAGATTTTCGAACTGAAGGCCGAACTACAAAGTGAAAAGAAAGAAAAGAAGAAGGAAGCTGTTAAAAAGGTTATTGCCAGCATGACTGTAGGAAAGGATGTTAGGTATCTTGCAAGATTTTCAGTTATTTCAGCGCTTTGTTCCCTGATGTTATGAATTGTATGCAAACAGATAACCTGGAACTGAAGAAACTAGTTTATCTATATCTCATAAATTATGCTAAAACCCAACCAGACACTTCGATAATGACAGTTAGCACGTTTGTCAGGGTAAGTTATGGAATAGTCACTCAATTTTTTAGGATTGTGACGACCCTAATCCATTGATCCGAGCTTTGGCAGTTCGCACAATGGGCTGCATTCGCGTCGAAAAGATCACTGCGTATTATTGTGATCCGTTGCGAAAGTGTCTAAAGGATGAAGATCCATATGTCCGCAAAACCGCTGCAATTTGCGTGGCGAAGCTTTATGACATTGACCCAACACTAGTTGAAGACAATGGCTTCCTCGAGTTACTGAGGAATCTCTTGAGTGATAGCAACCCAATGGTTGTCACGAATGCCGTAGCTGCGATTTCCGAAATATTGGAAACAACCCAGTCGGATGCGGCCACGAATCTTCTAAAGATTGATCAACAGATTGTAAATAAACTGCTAACAGCGTTAAACGAGTGCAACGAGTGAGTTCTCATCTGTATCTGATTGATTTCGCAGCTACATCCTTGTAAACTACGCTTTTGATTTCTAGGTGGGGTCAGGTTTTCATCCTCGATGCCATTGCAGACTACACTCCTTCAGACGAGAGGGAGGCTCGTAGTATTATTGAGCGTGTCATGCCCCGTCTGCAGCATGCCAACGCTGCAGTTGTCTTATCTGCGGTCAAGGTGATCATTCGCACTCTCGGTTTCATTGACTCGGAGTCTGATTTGGCCCAGACCACCTCAAAAAAATTGGCACCCCCTCTGGTGACTCTACTCTCAGCTGAACCTGAGATCCAGTATGTAGCACTACGAAACATAAACCTGATCTCTCAGAGGAACAAAGATCTTCTTAAGCAAGAAATTAAGGTGACCCAATGTCTTTGCTCCTTACTCATTGTGTTCCAGGCCTTCTTCGTAAAATATAATGATCCGATTTACGTAAAGTTAGAAAAACTGGATATCATGATCAGACTTACGAATCAGGCAAACATCGCCCATGTTCTTGCAGAATTAAAAGAATATGCAAAGGAAGTGGATGTAGACTTTGTGCGTAAGGCTGTGCGTGCTATTGGACGGTGTGCTATCAAGGTTGAGGCTTCTGCTGAACGCTGCGTCAGCACATTGGTCGAGTTAATAAATACCAAGGTTAATTATGTCGTTCAAGAGGCTATTGTCGTCATAAAGGTAAACTTTTTATACCTTTAAGGAGGTCCGTTTTGGCTAGGACATTTTTCGTAAGTATCCAAACAAGTACGAGAGCATTATTGCTAATCTTTGTGAGAATTTGGATACTTTGGATGAACCGGAAGCTCGAGCTTCAATGATTTGGATTATCGGTGAGTACGCAGAACGCATTGACAACGCCGACGAGCTACTGCAATCCTTCTTGGATGGATTTCATGATGAAAATACTCAAGTTCAACTCCAACTCCTTACGGCTATTGTAAAACTATTCCTGAAAAGACCCTCTGACACTCAGGTGCGTTCATTCGAGGCTCTTCAGTCGGTTCGCGTATTGCTTTGAAATGCCAGTATACGTGTTTGAATTCTTGTAGGAACTTGTTCAAAATGTCCTAGGTTTGGCTACTCTGGAATCAGATAATCCAGACTTGCGCGATCGTGGCTACATTTACTGGCGCCTCCTGTCGACCGATCCCACTGCAGCGAAGGAGGTCGTTCTTGCGGAAAAGCCATTGATTTCTGAGGAGACTGACTTGCTTGAACCCTCCCTCTTAGATGAATTGATTTGCAATCTTGGCAGTCTTGCTAGCGTCTACCATCAGCCACCTAGTGCATTTGTAGAGGGCAAGCATATCTCGAGAAAACATCTCTTTGCTACTTCGGCAACTACTAGTAAAGGTGGCGAGGCTAGTGGATCTCAACAGCCAACTACTATGGTCATTCCAACTCAGGAAACATTGATAGGAGATCTCTTGGATATTGATGCTGTGCCAAACACAGCTATAGCACCATCGGTCGGCTACACAGGCACTCCTATTCCCGGGCTTGAAGTCGAAGCACCGGATCTTCTTGGTGATGGTCTTGACGACCTCCTTCCGGGCGTCACTCCGAAGACCTCTGCTGCAACGCCAACTGGTAAGTAGGTAGTTCCCTATTTGAGTTCCTTCCTTTAATTAAATGTTTTTCATATTTTACAAAGGTGCGTCCGAGTCCACCGCCGACGCGCTGGCGGACATCTTTAAGGGAATAAGTGCAGGTAGTGGGGTGTCCCCAACTTTCACCATTCCTGCTAGTCACGATCTTGCCTCTATCGTGATGACTCCTGCCGCCTCCACTACCTACACACCACCGCCGGGCATATGGTTGGAGTCTTCTCGGGGTAAGGGTCTCGAGATCTCAGGTACATTCAGTGTGAGTCCCTCCACCAATCAGCCTCAAATGGAACTCATCTTCACAAACAACGCGCTCTCCCCTATGACCGGATTTGCGATCCAATTCAATAAGAATAGTTTTGGACTGGCTCCTGCTCAATCCCTCAATGTGCCCAGCCCTTTGCAACCCAAGCAGTCGGTCCAAGTGACACTGCCTTTAGGATTCGGCAATCAAGTTGTAAAGGTGGATCCACTTATGAATTTACAGGTGAGTGCTCCAAGTCCCTTGAACCTCTTTTAAATCTTTAAGTTCACTCTTGGTATAATACATTAGTATCCTTGTTCATCATTCAACGATCCAGTCACGCTCCTGATTCAGTGATAATTTGTCTTTTAGTATCAGAATGTTATTTTTGTAAAGTTTTTATAATGTTTCCGTTTCTTATAGCCGACCATGTTTCGCTTATGTCATCGTTTCAGTTTATCCTTGTTTTGACCCATCCTATCATTGCCTTTGATTTGTTTTCCGGGTAATCGGATGTATGAAGTTTTTCGGTGTTGTGTGTGCAAAGAAGTAGTCAGTTCACCAGCTTGAATGCTCGTGACATCTATCACAAGGTTGGATCCATTAAGTAGCATCCCTTTTTGGGCTGGAGGTATATACGTAATGAACTTAATGATCACTTTCCTAGAGCAGGCTTTGCCAAGTTTTCATACATTTATTCTACCTTTTGTGGTTGCTATTGAGGCATTTCATTACCTCGACTGCCAATGGTGGTTTGACTCCCTGATAATCGCTGCTTTTCGGTTGCCTTGAAGGTGGCGGTGAAGAACAATGTGGGTGTCTTCTACTTCGCCTGCCTTGTGCCCATTCACGTGCTCTTTACAACGGCGGGAGAGATGGAGAAGATGGTCTTTCTTGCCACTTGGAAGGATATTCCCGCTGAAAACGAGCAGCAATTTGTTCTCGGTCCTCTCTCTTTGGATGCGGGTGCGCTACTACCTTTTCAAAGCATACTTTTAAGCCGCTCTTGCTTTGTATTCGTTTTTAACAATTTTAAAATCTTAACTCATTCCCTGTCTTATAACACTCTTACCCTCTTATTATAGATGCCTGCTCGCAGAAACTACGCAACAATAATGTCTTCACCATTGCCAAGCGCAACGTTGATGGACAGGATATGCTCTATCAGTCGATCAAGCTTTGCAACGGAATTTGGGTTTTGGCAGAGCTGAAGATCCAACCTGGTAATCCGTCGTACACGGTAAGTGGTCATGCCTCCCTTTCTCGGTGGTACAACTTCGCACCTGTTAAAATAGACGTTTTTTATTATTTTGCTGTTCCTTTGCACCTTGATCATGTGATATTTCGCTTATTCTTACCACATTGTTTTTCCTTCCAGTTGTCCCTGAAATCACGAGCAATGGATGTACATCCTTACGTAAGGGAGGCGTTCCACGGAATCCTCTCCAATTAACTATTACGACTTTCATAATCTTATCGCCACCAATACGACTCATATGTAGCTGTGATTTTCAGGTTTATTGCGCCCTTATAACGACCAATCACTGCCTTTATCACCCTCCCATATTGTTGTCTCAACGCTCCCCTCATCTTGTCCTTTGCTTTTCATTGTGTTCAGCTGTTGTGGATGATCTAAGATGGTAACGACTCCGAGAGTAGTTTTCTTAACTAAAACATGAATGGTTTGGATGTGTCAAAATCGGAAAAAAAGCTTGCCTGCTGCTTTTAGCACTAAGTTGTCCGTTCTCAAATGTTGTCGGATGCTTTGCATTGAGACCAACCAAATCGAATGTACACGCTCGTCGTTTCGTACTTGAGGGCAGTACATAATAAAATTGAGCTCGTTCCGTTCCGCTATCCCAGATCTGGGTTAGTAAGCATAGTTGTGGCACTGCTACTCACTAGTAGCTGGTGAGATTTGGTAGCTGTTTTCTTACTAGTATGTTATGGGCTAGTAGGCAAGTATGTCGTGCCTTAAACCCAACAATTGTCGCTCCGACTTCGCACCACATAGTGGCACTAGCGCAGCACTGTTTAGGTACGCATTTGTTCTATCGGTTTAGTATCGCTTTCTCTACTACTTTCTACTACCATAGGTTTTTCTTACCGAAATTATCTGTCACATTTGTGCAGTGGTTATGCCCTTTAAGTTAAATTAATGCATAGTATTCAATAGATGGAACAGTTAAACGCTCAGATTAAATGCAATGATTATTATTGTAAAAACACTTCATGAAAAAATATTCGTGACGAGTGCACATTACATACACAGATAACTAGCATGGACGCATTATATACACGTAGCATGGGTGCACAGCGGAGATTAAAACGATGAAAACGCGGACACAGAGGTGAGCTAAGGGGCAAAATGCTACTTAAGAGACGTTACAGCGTCTCATTCATTCGAATTAACCAATCCGTGGTCGCCTCCGTCGAGTGACTGAACTACGCCGCCGGATTGGCTATTGCTCTCCAATTGAAACATTTGTACAAAGAGATCAGAGAAGTGAATTTCGGGACGAGATTGACGCAAGTCTCGCATGGCTGTCCGATGAGCCTCATTCATACTTGAGAGACTCGGAAGGAGTTTTATTAGGTGCGTGAACCTTTCATCGCTCGAGTAACGTACTAAATTGGAGGAAAAGAATGCTCATTAATGTAAACAGTAACGCTTTAAGTCAAATGTTAAGTCTATCACACCGCCCGTAGCTTTGGGTTACAAAACATCATACCTTATTGGTCACTTTTGCCAAGTATTTTTGATGCATCCTACACTGAACAATTAGCTGCACCATCGATGCATAATGTCCACGAATCCCATTTTCCTTACTTTAGCAAACATTGGGAAAATCCAATTTTCAGTTTTCAATTTCAATTTCCCTACTTGTAAGAAAGCGATTTTTTATGCCCTTGTCGTTCCAGAAAATGGTTTCTAAGTTACTGATATCCCAAATGTTCTTGAAACTTAATGAGGGGCAAGCAAAATATTACAAGATTGCAAAGCAATGCATCAGTAGATACATTTCGTACCTGTAATGTATTGCTGTAGGGCGGAGGCAGCATGATTGTAAATTTCGTAAATCTTCCCTGCCTCGAACAGCTTTTGGTTTGCTGAAAGAAAAGCATTAACAATCAAAAGGGAAACAGGGACCTGAATCACTTAATACGGTACTCTTTATATAATGAGCATATCGTAAGCCACCGGATCTGAACGTATGCCCATTCAATCCGTTGGTGCGCAGATCACAATGCAAATTTAAACGGAAATTCGGTATTTAGGCATGATAAAGTCATGCATTAAGTAGTCCTCCAGAAAACTGCTCTCAGGCCGAAGATATAATGCCGTTTCCTTTAATAGTACAAGGGATGCAGTGACTGCGATGGTTGTTGCAATGCCTTTTGGATGAAACTCTAGTCGCCATGAGCACACTGGAGGTACCCTTTTAGTCGTAATACTAGACTCGCAATTCATTCGAGACCTTTGTGGATAGCTCAATAAAGTGGAGTTTTTAAGTTCTCCTTCTTTAAGCAAATTCTTACATCATGTCATAATTTGCAGAAAAACACTTACATCCACGAAGAAAGATGATACTGCAGAGGAGAGCAGCCTCCGTATTGTCAAGATTTAGAGGACCTAGGAAGTTAGTGAGCTCGTAAAAGTGTTCGGCCAGAGGATTGATTTGAGGGAACTCTGCAAGCAGGTGGCGCCTCTCACAGGGTGAGAAGTTATAAAAGTTAAAGTCGCCGCCTGGAAGAGGCTCACGCGATAACTGGATCAACACGATGGGGTACATGGAGGCTTGAACAAGAAATTTTGTGTCTTCCCGTGGTAAGTCGCGGAATCCAGGGATGGCGCGCGCGAAGCGGATGATTTGGTGCGCGTGTGCCTCAAACTGAGCCATCACGTGCGCCCACATTGTCGCCGCCGTCACCTCTGACTCGAGCAGGAAATCTCCTGTCACCTGTGGATATATCACTCTACTTGATCGCTTTCAGTAAACATCTCTTCAGTTCTTCAATTTTATTCACAGCACAAAAATGCTGGTAATATTAAGCAGTCAGATTAGTCACGTATTATATAGGCACTTTGAGTGTACATACCCGCTGCCGACAGTTATCTAAGTGAACGGCCGCCTCAGCTACATAATCGACAAATGCTTCAAGGGACATCTGGGAGGTGAAGGATACTGATGTCTGCGGAGGTATACCCGTTCCCATTGGTGTGCCATTGTGACTTCGCGTGTCAGGTTCAAACGACTTTGGGTTGGAGTAAAGACTGTTCATCGGTAGGTAATCATCCGTTGTAAATCGATCTAAAATGAGGGCTAATAATCTGCGCACGGCTCGGCCTGACAAAGAGGCTCATTTCTTTTAAGTCTTGTAAATGAAAAATCTGTACTTCTTAATAGAAATTATTCTCAATTATTGACAAGGACTTTATTTTCCAGTAAACTGGTTAAGGGGATTGTATTTCATGGACTTCGAACAACGTTAATCGCTAAAAAAATTGCAATGATCCTGAGCCAACGGATTAGGTTCAGCTCTGCCAGACCGGTCATGGCAAAAGTCGATAACAATGAGTGTGCCCGTTTGAAGAACCGAGTACTCACCTTCACTCAGAGCGAAAGACGGAGCTATCGAGGGGACATTTGGCGCGTCGCATTTTTCCACCATAAGAGCATCCACAGAGAGATGTCCTCGCGACCGATTTAGCAGCTTACCCGCCTCATCCTCAGGCGAGCTGCCCTCCCCTCTCGCCATCGCTACTAAATCGTTCAGCACCACCTCTGTCGCCACTATTGTCTTTCTTGCACTAGAACTCCCAGTCGTACCGTCGTTGTCCCCTCCAGCCTCCATAGACTGCATATTCCTAATTCGCATTTGTTGCAGTGGGAGTGGCTGCTGTAAACCTTCAATTGGTGGAAAGTGTTCGTTCAGATGACCAGTTGTTTGGATCTGCGTTGGCCTTCCTACCGAGGTCGTTTCGTTGCCTCCACTACCACTGCTGCTAGTGCTGCTACTGTTGTTTGCTGACTGGACTTGCTTGGCCAGTCGTATGAGACTTGATAGCTGTAAGTAACGCATGCATTTGTGGGATTTACAATATTTAGGATTCAATTCCCTATTCTGCGCTCATATTTGATTGCCGAAAATGCGAAGATAATTTATGCATGATATCTTTATTCCGTTATGATAAAGCAAGCTCAATTAAATACATCACTACCACGCTCTCTTAAATGGAAGAGGGAGAGTTTGTTTGCTACTTTTATTTAAGCCAGCATCAAAATAGTAGTAAATGGTGCGCTTTTAATGAATTTCAGTTGTTTTATGCTCTATTTTATCGTCGACATTTTAATATAAATTAGGCTATTAAAATTGTAGTTTTTGCATACATCCTTACTAGTTTAATCTTTATTTCCCGTTCTTAGTCTGCGTTGCCTTGGCGCCTTGTAATTCCGTAAAAAAATATAAATTTGCGAAAGATAACTGGTATCTCGCATCAAAAAATCCTTTTATGCGCAAAAAATTGGAGAAAGAAAGCACTTTTGTCAGTTTCGATCTAAAATGGCAAAACATACTGCTGCCTTTTCGTAGCTACTCATAGTGACCGCTGAGGCAGAAGAATCGCATAAATGTGAAGCGTTTGTGGGCAGAGCTCCAGCCACTGAAGCAGTTGCTCTTGTCTCCCGCTGTTGTTGTTGTTGCTGCTGCTGTATTGCAGTAGCTTGAATGGAGGGAAGAACGGGGTCATCAGCGCCAGCGGTAGCACCAACAGGTGTATGCCGCGGACCTCGCAGAGAACTTGCATCGGAGCCGGCCCTTATCCTTGGCGTCACTCCACTATAACGACTATCATAGATATCCATTGCTCCAGCTGTTCCTGCAGCACTCGTATACTGTGGCATCTCATTGTCACCCGCTAATTCCGCCAACTTGGCGAAACGCTGTTGTTCCAGGCCGGCGCCAGTCTTGTTAGAGGTCGAAATAGCAGTGATTTCAGGTAGACCAACGTGACTACTTGTTTCATAGTAGGAAGGGTAGTTTGAAGGGGTCCAGGGAGGAAAAAGGAGGTCCTGTGTAACCCCACTTTCCTCCACTTTTGTCGATTGGTAGAGGGAATTGCCTGTCTGATGTAAAGTGTGCTGCTGCTGTTGTTGATGCTGGTGGTGTTGATGTTGTTGCTGTTGTTGGTGCTCAAAATAGACGGTAGTGTTGGAAGGATTTGACGACCCCGAAGAGGGCGGAGGTGTTGGCACAGCGGAGGAACTTAGCTTCGATTTTATTCGCTCGATCTCTATGGCACACATGTGCTTCACTGCATTCGGTTGTCTTCCAATACGACTCCCTAGAGTTTTGAAGGATTTTACTTTATCCCGTATAATTTACAGGTACTGAAAGCAAATAAGGGAGGTATTCATGCAAGCGATCAGCTTTAAATGCTATTCATTTAGAACTTTCAGGTCGATTTTAGGATAAGACCAGAGTCTCAGAGTGTTGAGGTTTCATTCATTATTCAGTGAACAGATACGCTTGGCTTGAGAGATTTTGTCAGAACAAAGTATCTCAAGATTACTTTCATATTAAAGTTCGAAGTAAGTTATAGACAGTAAACTATTCTTGTGGCAGAAAATATCAAGTCAGCTGATTCCAAAGGGTACGATCAAAAATATTACAAACTGGCACAAAGGCAAGAAATTTGAGAGCAATGGAAATAAAATCAAAACTAACGCAGCATTTATATAACGGTCTTTCAATGGAATTCTTAGCTCCTATGAAGTTATTTGTTCAAAGACGGAATGTAAAAATGTTGGTGGTCCAGATAACAAGGTAGCAAGCGGAACCACAGATAGCTCGTCTTCTTACCATCTTTTGACATGCCAACGGAGAGGCACTTGCGATAACGGCAACTCTTGCAGTTATTGCGAGTAGCTAGAGTTATGAGGCATGTGCCTCCATTGCGGCAGGTGTACCGCTGGTTATCCCTCTCACTTATCGTTCTTCTGAAAAACCCCTAAGAGTTAAGAGATTTGCAGTTAGGTAGCATTAAATCTATTATAGCCTTGTAAGGATTTTACCCCCTGCAAACACTCACCTTGCAGCCCTCGCAGGTGATGGCGCCAAAATGGAATCCGGACGATTGTGCGCCACAAACGCGGCAAGGGATGATCGAGATATCATTGGCTGGACACACTGCAGCTCCTATAATTAGTCGCGAGACGAAGAAAGTCGATTTAAGTAAAATTTTTGGATGTGAAACCTGATTTAATGGTGTCTGATATTCGTGCACGCGTGTGTGTGAGTCACAGCAAGTTCGTTGCATTTCTGGGTGGGAAGCACACACTTCGACAATCATACTTGTTCCTCCGTGTTAGCAGGCTCTCCTTAATTGTAGAAGTCAGAATTGCTGGAATAAATAACCGTGCATGGACTAATCCTGCGCGAAATTGTACCTTCAGAACCTCGCTCTAATGGCGGAGATTTCAGCAAATTTAGCAACTTATCCCAATATAGTGATTAACATATGAGGACCTTTCTTAATGTCTATAATTACGTGGATATTAAAATTGGCTGTAAAATTTTACTTTAAGATGGTCATTTTTTGGTTCTGCTGCTTGTACTTGGAATGTAAAAGCAGAAAGTCAAATAATTAGAAAAAGGTTGACATTGTATTATCGTTACGCAATGAGCATAGGACAGTAAACGGTAGGAATGGATACCCAAAAATGCCGCTACCCCGTTGTTATGAGCCACCTAACGTCTTTACATTTGAAAACTTGCTTGTAAGCCGTTGTAATCTGAGAGTTCACTGTGAGTGCGGTGCCAAGGATGGATACTGGAGTGATAAACGACTCCTTGGATTAGGAAGAGCAGTCAAGGCAGCCTTAAGAACACTGCATACATGCGCTTGCACGCGTGCTTGTCTGAGTCCTTCTATGGGGGCCACCCACCAAACCGTGAGAATGCACATCCACTCACCGACTCGGTGCTGTCTCCGCTATGTGCACCGCGCCTGTGCGCGTTTTAGCACCGATTGCCTCCGCTCGTCCCCCGGTTTCCCAGGCTGACCTCCACATATAACCCGCTTATCTCGGAAGACTTTGTGATGTACACTCGCAACTATGCATGGCAAAAGCAGAACACCTGTGTACTCCCGCAATGAAGGAAGGATAAGAAAGCAAAATATGAATACGACCTTATTCCCGGTAATGCCAGTACGAAAGTTCTGACGTTCCAGTAAAGTTTACAGAGGAAGTCATGTTATTCTCGTGGTGAAATCATTCACGCCTTAGCAAACAGTATTAATAGAATCATCAGCAAACAGATCTCGACTGATAACAAGTTGTAGACCGCCTGCAACTGTTTGAACGTTTTACAAGTGAATGGCCGTCTACCCACATATGTTCAGATTGACTTATTACTCTTGGGCAACATTTGGTCGTCCAACTCTCGTCTATTTCTCTAAGACGTTACATCTATCGAACATTCGTCTTGCTTGTTACCTGTAGTTTAATTGTACGGAAATAAAAGCGGACATCCACTGTCATTAATCTTCCAACTTGAAATCACTAGATACTGTTGTATAGACCAGACCCTTTTGTATTAGCAAGCACAAGCCTTACCTACTGACTATTAATGGGAGCCTCTAACTCATCAACTTTGACCTCATCGAAGATTCGATCATAATTTTATTTTCAAAGTAAGTTTCTGTTTTACTTGTGCCAGCTTGATTTGTTATTCTTAACATGATTGTTGCTGCTAGATTTAACAGCAAAGATGTTATTGATTTCAAGTGATAGTGTGCATGCCTTATAAGTTTTGCTTTGAATGCCAAAATTACTTCTGTTTGAAAGAATTGTAAATAGATTCGTAAAAGTTTTTCGTTTTAAACCTTTAGGCCAGCATGACACTTGATTTACTCACTTTGGCATAATCTCCATAGTTGAACTTTCCTGATGCAGTGTGATCCCCACACTTGAAGCTGACGTCTCTAACAATTGGGCGCTCAAATGGGTGAAATACATTTAACAACCACTTTATTTCTCGGCCCGATTATATGAGCTAATCACGTGTTGGAGGAGGATCCTAGTCATTTGGATCCAACAAGGGTACCTTGACGGCGGGAACGTAAAAACTGTAAATTTTTTAAGGCTCTATGGTTTCGTAAATTGAGGAAAGTGACTCAGTCTTGAGTCACCACTTTCTGCACCGCTTTTTGGACGCTCTCGTGTTGTTGTTGTTGTTATGATAGAAACGCCATCGGTCTGCGAAACACCCAGTCACCTCCATCTCTATAGCCTTTCACCCCTCCGTATAGATATTGCGTCACATCATATGCCGACGATCCAAAAGTCATCGATGAAACTTAAGCTGATCCCAAGGAGCTGAAAAGTTAACTTCTGTTTCCAATGAGTGAAGTAGAGCCACTGATAGATGTGGGCGTAAGAGAAAAGTTCAACTTAAGAGCAAAATTTACGCCTCACCAGGGAGAACCATGCCAATTCGTAGGCATTTGTAGAATCGGCATCTTTGACAGTGGGTCCGAGTGTCTTTGTTCACTTCGCAGGCATTCACTTTAGAACAGGAGTATTTGGTGTAATTTTCATTCTTTGAACTCCGAATGAAAAATTTCTATAAACAAAAATAAAAAAGAAACTACGTCAATTATAATAAACTTTAGTAGTCTAAGGGAAGCCGTAAAACTCTTTCTGACCCCATTTCAAGTACTGCTAAGGCGTGACATGCTGGGCGCATTGATCTTCGGAGTAATGCACAAACTCTCAATCACTACCGCCCACTTTAGAAGCATTGATGTGCAGAGGCGCAGTTATCAAGATTCTGCCAATCAAGCAAGCGTGCAATATATTGATGAGGCTGACGCTATTGGTTGAGAGGTACACACACGCGCGCGCGCACGGAAACAGGCGCGTTAATTTAAGGGATGTGGGAAGTGTCTTGTGCACCCTTTCATCGGTAGCGTTACCTTCCCCACCTCACCCTACGCCCTTCCCGTTCTCCAGAAAATGGGCTACTTTTGACAGGGCTGTTGGTTCACGTGCTGTACACCCACATTTCGCAGGATGATACTCAATCGTGCGCACTTGGATGGATGAGATGCAGCTTATTGGCTCCCTCTCACTCCCACCTCTTCCATCCAACAAGATTTTGCTACATCCACAAGAGACTGACACCATAAAATTTAAGTGTGTAATGACTTTCAGCAAAATGATGCATCGCGCCTAAAGACGACTATGTTTAACCACAGCATCATGGGAAATATTGTTCTCATCCAAGTCCTCTCTTGAAGAAGTCCTTATGGCATCAAACCTGAGAAATTCTCAATTTACAAATGGTTTTGCAATAATAAGGACAGATCCCTTTAACAAAGGATGTAAAATGGGTTTCTCAAATCCACAGACCAGTTATTTGTTGTAAAGTCAGAAACGACCATCGAGGATCGTCATAAAAGTCATTACTGGAGAGTGAAACTTCACCCTCAAGCTTATCATTAGTACCGGTGCAAATCAGAAGAAATGTATACATTCCCATCAAAATTTGCACTGAGATAAGGAGGGCGAAGGATATGGGTTGACTATTTATGAATGAACAGACCCATTCTCCCCTGTCCCTCCGCCTTAGCCACTCACACCACTTCAACGACCGCTTACACCTCCACTAAAGATTTGTTTATGTTTGTGTGTAAACGTAATTGGCCTGAATGTGCAGCCGTGCGCTGCGAATGAGGGAAGAAGAAGGTGCGTTGCGGCGCACGTGCGTGTGTTTAAGAGTGACATCTTTCTCAGGCAAAGTGGCTGACTTTTGCTCAAGGTTTTTACATCTACTTCTCACTCTATGGGGTTAATCAACTCAATTCAAATAACCTCTTTCCACAATCCGCAATTGATTTCTTATTCAGCTACGACTAATATTAAAACATCCACTTTTCACTTCGAGTAGAGTTTCCATTTCCTTGACGCAATTAAAACTAATTTTATCAATGAGTAGCACAGTCATCCTGGCCTTTTTAGACTCAGTAATCATTTTTTTAAAGCAGAGATGGAATCAATTTCTTAAATCGTATCACGGAAAATATTCCCACCCAGAGATCATCGCGATGGAGTTGTTTCAGTAAAAAATTAGCATCTCGTGCACACACATACGCACCTAAAAGCCTCACCTTGCATGCTTCACAAACGTAGGCATTGCAGTGAAATCCCGCGGAGACATCACCACAGATGTCACATGGAGTCTTCTCCTTCATTGCTGTCACGTCGTTCGTGACCTTAGCACGCGATGACCCCGATGGTCTCGACACTGCAACCATTGTAGGCACGCGCTGTCGGAGACTGTCCTTTGCCACCTGACAGAGTTGGCTGCCTGGAGGTACCAGGTGGTTCATCATAGTACCCAACATTTGTCGATAGCCGGTTTGGCCGAAGCAGACATCCTGGGTATTGACGACCAGCTTCTGATTCGAAGTATCCATTGTGACGTACTGGCTGGTCTGGTAGATACTGGTTGAGTAGGTGGGCTGGAAACCGATAGGTTTGTTCACTTCGTTAGCCTCATATTGGCGCGAGTAAGTTGAATAGTAGGGATCGGTTTGAGGTTGTGAGGGAGGAAAGTAAGTGTGAGTGGGAGTGGCAGAAGATGGCGGAGGCACCGCTAAGACGTATTGAGAGGGATCTGAGAGGTGGCCACTTGATGGCATAAAATCCTGTGGCTCGTAACCCGAAGATGTGTGTGCCTGGGACAGATGCATTTCGAGATCCGATGATGGTGAGAAACTTTCGGGAATGCTTGCGGTTTGAATTAATGGTGATCGTCCCTCGCTTGAGCTTGAGAAACGAATGAAAACAAAGCCGATCAAGATACAACTATCGTACTCTTTTAACCATGTTTAAATATTTGAAGCCACCTGTGACTGTTAATAGGAAGTGGTGTGCGAAACAGAAAGAGACAAGTGTACCGATGGTTCGGCTACAAATTCGTAGACTTGTCCGCCTATGCGGCAAGCCAGCGTGTGTACATGCAAACGTCGGTTATACCCGTTTTGACTAACCTGAGTCGGTACATTGTACACATTCGAATACATAGACGAACTACTGGCAGGCGCGTAACGTACAGAAGGATACCATTACGCACAACACATCGCCGTCTGAAATGATCACTCCTACAAAAGCTAAGACCCCTGAAACAAAGCAGATCTGTGTGGTCTACACACAAATTTATGGAAGGTTTGCTATAATAATGTACCGCAAATGAAACTAGTAAAGCTGGATTAAGCAAACTTCTCTTATTCATTGTGATACATTCTACCATTCGCTGTTTTCAGACTAATAGCGTCCAGTTTAATCCAAGGTCCAAGAAGTACACTCAAGCATTGTAATGATGCTAGAAGAAAAGTTAATTTAAAATTATGAACTCAGACATGTGTGCGGCTGATGGAGTTATTGTGCCATGAAACAGGTGTGAACAAAGCAATGAGATAAGGTGAGATGGCGAGGTATGATCGTAAAAACATAGTTTTTAAAAATCGATTATCTACAGGATGCGACAGAAGCGGTCTGCTAACTCACTACCGTTTTATCCAGCTCACTCCCTCCACTCCTATTGCACACTGCACACCGCACACACGCACACATGACTTCATTTTGCGTCACCTTGGAATGAAAAACAGACGTCATATGAACTCAAAGTGCAGTTGAGCTGATTAGTGAACCACTGAGTGGTCTGCCAAAACTTGGGCGAATTTAAAAAGGCACGTTATAGTTAGCTGACTAAAAATTTGATATCTGCTAAGTTTAATGAAGTCTACGTTAGTAACATGAGACTCATTTAAATTATGCTTAGCGGCTCAGCAACAGCAAAAGGGAGAAAGGCAGTCGTGGAAAGTCTTAAAGAGGTATCAAGGACATTGTGATAGCGGGATTGGTCCCAAAGCGAACGTTCCTTCCAAACGGCATCACACTATCAACATCTTTGAGGCACAATGATAACCATCATAAAAGTTTTAAAATGAAATGCAATTTTTAGTACCACAACAATGCGACTGCAGCACAGAAACTTGGCTGGGTACATTTGTATTTGGATCGCCTTGAAAAACAATCGCAAATATCGATGCACTAGTATATCCGCGAACTTTTGTCACAAATGCCGAATGCCCGTGTACTCCCCAGGGAGGGACAATCGACTGTCCTACAGTCGCGATTTTATCCTCCCAATGACGCATGCAATGCCGGTATGTATCAAATTGCGCGGTCGACGTGCTCGCAGCTGCAGGCTCAATCACTGTGCTAGCGGATTTGGGCTTCGCAACACCGAACCGACCGAATTGTCAAAGCATCCCCTCAACTACTGTCATCAGCGTGGGCCTTTTAGATTTGATAAGGGAAGGCGATGCTATTATATTGCAAGACAGAATGTCTATCGAATGGGAGCAGATTGCATTCGACCACAACAAGAATGGATCAACAACTTCAAATGCACCGTGGCAGCAAAATCGCATGTTCGGAACGAAGAAAAATAGAACAAATCTCATGGTTAAAGGTTACTTTAGTCACAAAGGGTATGGTTCCAACATTATACGTATGTGACGCTTCCAACCGACATGGGACAAAAGATTGAACAAAGTTTTACTGTGCAAGTCCAATAATATCAAAACAAGGCAGAAGTAGAATTTTCGTACTCTATTGTTAATGCAATGTTTCTGAAACTCGAGAAAGGATTCACTACGGTAAAAAAGCGACTGCTAGGATTATAGTGTGAGAATAAAATGCATAAGTAGCTACTTTGGTCAACATTTCTTTGATACTCTGGCACCAGATATATTAATCTCATAAATTTACAGAAAGGGTGTAGTGTTTTTACAATAAGATTGTTGTAGTTAAGAGGATGGAAAATTTACTCTAATGGTAATAACAATGAAGTTGTATAACAAAATTCCTAGACATGGACTAACAATGCATGCACATTACCAAAGATTAAGTGACGATTTGGAAGACATCCCATCGCCTTCCACAAATTCTTGCTTGATCGTAATCACAATTTCAGCAGTGAGCACGGAGACATCATAAGACGCCATCTCAGCCGAAGTACGAACGCTGCACCGATACTAAACGTTTGGTAGTGTAGGGCGGGGGTCTATTCTTGCCCAAGTCGGGACCAACTACTGTCTTGCCCGCGTGAGAACGCGCACCACCGATCGATAATTTTTCATTAGTCTGACTACGATGACTCACTAGTCAGGATGAGCGCATGCGGTACGGGAGCGCGGGAAACAAATTTTTTGGTTTTAAGAGTAATTTATGTCTGTGTGCTTATAAGTCATGCCTCCTAGGGTCAACAAATTCAAGTTGTTCCCATGGGAGACGAGCGATACAGGGAACACCAACTGTTAGATGGGCGTGTGAGTGTGGGTTCGATGTGAGTAATGGGTACTTATACAACGTCCAGGGTTTTCAACATTAATAGGCGTTATCGCCCACGCTAGCGTAAAATTTACTTCTGTTTGCTATTAATGGGCTTATGGGCATTTAAGGGGTGCATCTGAAGTCAAATAAGATAAGAATTTGTGTCCTATGAAATTGAATGCTATGGATGGCTCGTTTAGTACAAACAATCGTGGCATCTCCATAGATAACACACACCGGAAGTGCCCGTTGTGGACTATAAACTGATTACAAGGGAACCCAAAATTTCACATCACAGCATTTCAAATCTGGGGAAAGACTCTCCAGACAAGGGGAATGTATGGTAGTCTCAAGCACTAACAATGTGGCGATCACTGTATGCGTTATTTTAAGGCTTTCGTATAATCATTTTGGCAAATATAATTAAACTTTTACTAAATTTTGTTTATAATCTCTAAATTATCTCATTCTTCAAGGTTGACACCACCGCAATAATCTTCCAAAATACCCCTCGAGAAAGTTGCACGATTTCGTACAGTTTGATTTCGAGAACTGAAAACTGATCTTGCTAATTACTTGACAAAATCGGCTTCGTCTCACTTGAATGGGAAACGAGTCTTCCGTTGTCTTACATGGGTCTTTAGTACAATAGCTGCAGAAGAGGCAATGACTCATAATCTTTGGGGAATATTAGTACGGTTAGGGCCAACGTTCGGCCAGAACCAAAAGCAAAGTAACAGTACAATTTTTCACGAATAATTGCAATAGTGTTAGAAAACAGGTTGACTGGAATTTTAATTTTCCCTTTTGTGGCCGAATGTACGTGACAGAAAACGTTCCTCGACAAATGCACCAATGAAGATGAATGCTCCCAGCGCAACTTTGGCTTTTCCCACTCTTCAAAACGAAACGGGTAAGCAATCCGGAAACGTAGCAAATGGATTTTTGTGGGCCCATTGCCTCCACTGAAGGGTTGCTTGTGCCCCGCCCTCACGACTTAGCTGCCCTTAACTAGGACATGCTTTAGTGGCATTAAACAATGAAACAGATGAAACGCAACCAAATATCTCCACAGGCTTTATTGCATTGGAGCTCAATTAAGCTTGAGATTTCACTAATAATTGGCGTGAGTATTGGAAGTAAAAATCTACAGGCAAAAATATCCCATGATACTAGAAGTCGACTTTGTTCCTCTCTCGTAATCTAAGTGATATGAACACATTGATTCCAACCCTCCAACAAATCACCGACCCAGCACCGAACGCTAAAAAAACCTAACACTTCGACAAAATGGACTATGGCCGCATCATGGATAACTGAAACTGAAAATTATTTTTTTTTTTTACATTTAATGTGTTTTAAAGCAGATCACCAATAAATTGTTCGAGTGAACATTATTGACATTGACAGATTAAAAATGCAAATCGCCATGTTTGTTTAGTATGAAAAAAAGACTACTGAGGTTTGTTACAAAAAGCTGGTTGGGAACGCATTATGTAAGTTCATAGTTTGCCCCTCACTGTTTTCACTCTTGGACCTATCGACCGTTAGAGGTAAGGGGAGGGGAAGGGAGGAGTGGGGAGGAACCGCCAATAAGTTCAAATATGTAGGGACTCTAGTGACTTTGCTACAAATCCCCAAGCATTGCCTTTTACATAGCCTGCAACTCGTAAATGTGATTTTATGATCTGTAACTGATGGCTACTTCAGCCCCTGTCCTAACAATAACAAGTCTCCTGTAAGCGATTCGGTGGTGTCATAAATGCAAGATTAAATTTACCATGAAACAAATAAATAAGTTTGCTCTACAAGTCAGTTGAGAAGGAAGGGAGTTATGATTGACTTCAGTTGATGGATTTAATAAAGGATTTCTTATTCACTCTATTAAACATGCCAAATCGGAATCCTTTTTACGTGGTTTACGAGGAGTACTACCAAGCTATTTTACCTCTAAGTTTTGGCACAGCTGTGTCATGAATTCCATCCCATCAAGAGAATTGCACAGTGGAATTTAGTGCGCTACAGCAGAAGAGCTCGGTGGTATCACGCCTTGCAGAATGCCAGCATGCTGGAACATGCCGCCCAGTTTTGGAAGCACAAAAGAAGCGAAATTCCAGTGTCAAAGAAAATCTTACCTCTGCAACCCTCTAACACGTATTATTTTAAAACTTTGACCGGACCAAGCATTTGCCCAAATTAAATCCTTATGTGATAGATTATGGCCAAAAATAAGCACACAAAGTGTGCTTTCGTAAAAATTCCGAGCCTTGTCCTGTTTTCCTGTAGCTTAACAAATATGGCGTTTGTTTAATAACTGGAGAAAACATACTCATGTTTCCTGAAAACATCACGACAAATTGAATAAAATATGCAAAGCATAATAGCATTGCTCGAGTTATTTTGCACAATAGCCGGATGAACTCAAATGAAGGAAACGACCGTTTGACGGAAGCGTGGAGCATTGCCAATAAAGGGGAATATTAACATTCATGCTTGGATATTTAAAGATGCCCGATTTCATATCTCACCGAAAAATGTTTGAGATAGTTCAAAATTTATCCAGGTAACCTGCTTATTCAAGAGTTCGACTGTAATACATCAAAGATATTAGATCACAAATTATAAGCATTAAAATAGCTGAGTCCTATCGCGATCCTTTTGATAGATCAACATTTGATAGATGTATTGAAATTATGTATATTAGTGCTCCTGGAGGCTAATATAGAAGAGTTGGTCTGGAATGGACCAGCAGTGAAAAAATGACAATCCATCAAAGTCAACCACCGGATGCCAACTCCTATTCGAGGCATGAGGTGTGTCAACGATGCTCTCTTTACTATGTGTGAGAGGGTCTTAACTGGGTTGTCTCCCTTAGGGAGTATAGTCGGTCTCGTCGCCGGAGCAAGAAGTGGAGATGGAAGGAAAGAGAGAGCTAGAGCAAGCAAGAGAGCGTTTGTACTGGTTCACACCAACCTATCTGCGAATGGGTTCACCACCGCACACACGCGCCCGCGTGTTATGATCCGAATCGGGGTCAAGTGGCGTGTTGTGTAGCAAACCGGACCACCAGAACAAGGAAATATAACGAGGTCACACGCACATATACACAGAGCCCACACATGTGTGCACGGAGCGAGAAGACTCACCTTTCTGAGGATTTCGAGGAAAAGAAGATGACAACGATGACTGATGATGCCGCTGCTGCTCCAAGATCCAGCTCCTACTGCGACACCGCGACTGTGTTGGTACAATCCTTGTGTGTGAATACGTATGTGTGCGTATGTGCACGTGTGTGCGCGCGTGTTGTTCATTCAGCCATTCTTGCTGCGTGCGTGCATGCGCGCTGAGTAGAATAATGACCCGATTGGCGGATACTTTCGTGTCTCCTCCCCGCCTCCAACCCCTCTCACTCGCCCTTCTCCCCTCCCCCTTTCCGTCGTTGGTGAGGTAACGAAGCGCCAGGCACGCGTGCAAGGTGGTGCGCATGTGTGTGTTGGTGCATGAAAGTGCGGTCTTACCTCCCCACGTGCGCACGATGCGTCCGCTATCGCGTGCCCGCTGATTAGTCTGTGCATGAACCAATAGTTGTAGGGCGCGACAAATCGAATGTACGTTTGGTGGGCGCTCATTTGTTAGCGGCAAACTGGAATCCGGATACTGGGTCTTGCGCAGACGCACGTGCACACACACGCGCAGTGTTGCGTAAGTCCAAGCCCTATGCTCCTGCCGGTGCACAGAGCGTAATCTGGAACAGGGACACACACACACACAGCGCGTCTGGCTCGTCTAGTCACATAAAAAGCAAGCCCTTAAAACGCACACACACATGCCCATGAATACAAACACACACAGCAGCATATGAGTCAAAGAGCTTTTGTTGTTGGACGTTCACAAGCGTTGGATTCAAACGTTTCGGACGCAGGACTGTCCGATATTCAGATGACCTACTGCGCGGTTCTTAACAAATGCTTTGATTTTTTATTACACTATCTAAATGGTGCCTTACAATCCAATGCCTTATCCTGTGGTTTCGCTTCTGCCACACTACCATCAGGTGCCCTGCTGTATGTGTAAAGAAACAACAGGAGGCAATGTTTTAATCAACGCAATAAGCATTAAAGACTTTATATAGTTTCTTTCTTGCGAAACGTGCTAGTTTGGTTTAGCCTACCGATAGTTTTCCACGTTGGATATTTTTGGGCGCCTTTGGGGTTTACAAATGTTCACAAACTTATGCATTATGATCCTTTCAGTGTATATTATGTAGACGCATTTTATTTATGAACTTTATTAAGCGTTTACTCAGGATCCAATTATTTCGATCTTCCCGATGCAGAAGTGCAATTTGTACAAACAATTAGAAAACTAGTCATCTTGATCGCATTTTAGGTAAGCCATTGAAAAATATTTTGGTTTATTAAGCATTTGGGAAATCATTTGGAATTAAGGAGCTAAAATAGTGTGTTTGTCAACACTGAAAGAGGACATGTAGAGCCGCCAGCCAGTGGATCGTTTTAAGAGGGTTTATACAGCATCTTTTACAGAATACAAAGGGGTTCGGGTATGGTTAAGACTGCGGCCCTCACAAGTATCCTTCCTTTCCTTAAGCACGAGATTCGCGTTGAATCACCGCCTCTCTCCTGTAAAGACAATTTAAACACAGCATTGTGTT